TCGAATTTACGTGCAAAGCTAATTTATCATCTGAACGAACCGATACACAAAAAAGCCCAAAAGTGTAAAAACTCCGTGTGCTTTGTAGTGCTGAATGGACGCCAATATTTTTTCGTAAATACAATAAAAACCCAAGTATAAGTATTATAACCACAAAATAAATAACAAATATGCGAGCGAGTGCGACAAAGCAGACACCGACGATGGCGATGGCGAAGGCGAAGGCGATGGAGATGGTGTTGCTGTTGATGTTGGGCCCCAGTCGCGTTGTCAGTGAGTTGTCTACGCACAATAAAAACCTTTTGTCCGCTAACAGCGTGAGATACTGAGATACTTTTTATGCCCATGCCCATGTCCATTCATTCACTACACCGACCAGTTTAGGGCCCGTTGTCAACTGCAGCAAAGTGCCTAATTATGTGTGGCCAAGTCAATTTGTCCAACTCAAAAGCAAATCCAATCCAAGCTCTGGCTCATGCCTGCTATTGTTTGCCTTTTCTTGCTGCGTGCAAACAACAATAAATGTGTTGTAGTTATTAAAAAGTAGTGTGAAATCGATTACATACATTAAACCGACCTAATGCCGGCTTGGTCACTTGCCAACTCGACGAAGCGGCCAACCGCCCAAGCGTCCAACCGACCGGATATGCCCAGTCAGCACTGTCAATATTGAATTAACTTTAACGATACATGTTAATTCCTGTTAATCGAATGCTTCAAAAATGAGTCGGCATTAACTTTTTGATGTTGGACACATTTAGCTGTTGCTGTTGTTGTTTTTGTTGTTCAAATTCAAAGAGCTGTTGCGGCTCTGTTATGGCTGTTATTGATTTATCATTGTTGGCAGTTATAGCCATTCGAACTTGCGCGCCCATAGAATTGCCTTGTAACCCTAAATGGTTGCCAAACTTACTATTAAGAGCTTAAAAGCTTTTATCTGTGACTGTTGCATATACTTGGAAGCTTTGAGGTGAAACGACTATACAAGCTTTTGGAAATGAAAGCTATCTTCAACTATTCAATAAGAAAACCTACAGGCAAGAGGCGAGCGTAAATGAACACTTAACTCTATACCATTAATAGACCACTCTAACTAAAAAACTAAGGAGCTCTGGAAATGTCCTTGCATTAGCCATGTACGCTATACGCTGCAGAATATAAGTATATGCATGCCTTTACGCGGAATAAAATCATTTTAGGTCGCTGTTGCCTTCAGATCCGCGCATGCTCCAAGTAATCTGTCAGAACAGACAGCACTTTGGTGTTGAAGTTTTTAATTAAATGGCTGCCTACGGCATCTGGCTGCAAAGTCAAAAGTTTTCACACGCGCTGCGTTCATGAACTTCATTTCAAGTATACAACAAAAAACTTTTGTTTGTACTCGTTCCTTTTTATTGCTTTATTTCCCATCTGTTGTGAGATACTTAAACAAATTTGTTCGATGTTTACCACAAGTGCAATTTTCTAAACCAAGTTATAGACAGTTTCATCAACTAATATACAAGTACATATGTGCATGTCTACATGAACCTTCAGAATTGAGACAAGATGGAAATCAAGTAAGAAAATCTCTGCTTTTAACATAAATTTGTTACACAACAGTGTCATGTTAAATAACATAGGTATAAGCTGTAAGTACAAATTCCGGCCGCTCAAAAGTATGCAACAGCATCTTTAGACAACTTAACTGCATTGAAATAAATATTAAAAGAGTATGTAACACAAAATAAAAGAATTTTTGTTAAAAGCTAAAATAAAAAATGTGCAAATTTGCATATAAAATAGCGCTTTTTTATAAGCATTTTGCACAGCTTCCAAGCTTTTACACCTTTCCATCTGCATACAGACAAAAAACAAAAAAAGGTCTATTTTTAGACCTCCAATGAATTCAACAATTTAGCAAAGCAAAGCCCGTTCTTTCTGCAATACCCGGTGGACACAAAGTTTAATAGCAACTGAAAACGAAAATAAACTGCATATATACACTATACGTACGATTTATTTGCAGCTTTCTTTATTTGTTGGCCTCAAACTGTTAATAATGATTACAGTGTATTACTCTTTAATGAAGGGAGTAGCCTGCATTTGTGCTTACCCATAATCGGCAGCAAAAAGAAGAAAAAGGGGAGCTGTATCCGAATCAAAAAGCTCCTACGGAGTTTTATCATTTTACAGAAAATATAGCAAGCTTTGAAAATATGCATTGCTTTCTTCAATTTTGAAGCGCGAATTGTAATACCAAACATGTTTTATATGCTTTACTGAATATGACGAATAAAGCCCGACAGGAATGTCAAAATGTCAAATTTACAGAATACTAGACTTAATCTCATTTCGAGTTACTTTTCAAAGACTACTTGTAAAATATGGCAAATTAATAATATATTTTACAAATAATATGTCGTCAGTTGTTCTTTATTTAGACCTAATTGTAATTATCACTTAATGTCTGATGTTAATTGAATATTTGCAAAGTAGGATTGTATTGATCTTTTATTCTTTAAACAACTGCGTTTACTTTCCCTGCTGCAAGTTTTCTGTCCGCTACTCTAACCTTTAATAAATATTGATAAATGTACACTGCAAAATTGATTCGTTTGACTTACAATAGCAACCAATTTGTAAACTTACTTCTTTTTTTTTTTTTGGTTTTTCAAATCATTCTACGGGAGTTATACAAATTACTACAAGTAGGTACAACTGACAAGTGTGCTGTCGACCATTTTCTTAAAAAGTGTAGAAGCATACAAGCAATCAGAAAACAAGTGTTTGGTAATATTCTTCCCTTACTTCTTTCATCCCAACACAATATTGAATTAGTATTGATTAAAAGGACTCATACTATATATATCAGTTCATACATTCAAACATGTAGTAAATAAACAAATAAATAAACGATAAACTTTAGAAATCCATCAATTTTATTTTATATAAAGCATTCCTACATGCAACTAAATGAATCACTCAGGCGAATATCACGCAATTTATAATCAAAAAACAAGTTAATTTTAAGACAAGAATGCAATGCTAGAGTCAAGCGGGATCAACTCTAAAGCCCCCTGTACCCCAAAAATCACGAAAGCCTTTCAAAGACTTCTAGCTTTTATACCTTTCGATATTCTAGCGTTCATACAGATGAGCACAGTTATATCGGCTCGTCAAAAATGGCTGCCACGCCCCTTCTGGTAGACCCTTTTGCCCTTTGGGGACAAGGTGTACAAATTGCCATTTATCCCGAAGTTGTGAGGCAACTAATACAAGGACAGTAATTTGGTCCTAAGTCCAATTTTAATTTTAGTAACCGATTTAAAAAAAAACACTTATTTTAATGGCATGTAGGTATTAGGAACATTTTCAGATTTCTCTTTATATGTATGTTAATGGCGTATTAATTTCAATTAAATACTTTTGGAATTTAATCGACCTTAACAGGTTTGCGGCAAAATGATCCAATGGGAGCCCCAAATGAGGTCTGTCCTGTTTTTGCTGCAATGAAATTGTTTAGCTTGTAAAGAATTTATTAAATTAATGCAAACATTGTTTTCATTGTCGTGCATAAACCAACTTCTGTCAATAACTTGTTTTTTTTTCGATACCACAGGTGGATTGACCCCCTTAAAATAATATTCGAAAAACCCGAAATTACTAAACATATACATAATATCCCCCGTAATATAATTCAACCTTCATCATTTAATATATTCAATCTACCGCAATTTAAATCCCCTCTTATTGTATAAAATACTAACCGAAAAGAATAACATACTGTCAACCCAGTAGAAAAAACTATATAAAAAGAAAGAAAACAAATTAATATTATTAATTATAACAATTTCTAAAATTGTATCTTTTGAATAAAACCCAGCTAAAAAAGGTATACCACATAAAGCTAAATTAGAAACATTAAGACACGCAGAAGTTAAAGGTATATGAATTCTTAACCCTCCTATTATACGTATATCTTGAGAATTATTTATATTATGAATAATAGCCCCAGCACATATAAATAATAATGCCTTAAACAAAGCGTGGGTTAATAAATGAAAAAAAGCTAACTTATAAAATCCTATTGATAAAATACTTATTATTAACCCTAACTGTCTTAAAGTTGATAAAGCAATAATTTCCTTTAAATCAAATTCAAAATTAGCCCCTAACCCAGCCATAAATATGGTTAATCCTGATAATAACAACAATAACTGACATAAAAATGAATTTCTTAATAAAATATTAAGCCGAATTAATAAATAAATCCCAGCCGTTACTAAAGTAGAAGAATGGACCAAAGCAGATACAGGAGTTGGAGCAGCTATCGCAGCAGGCAATCAGGAAGAAAATGGAATTTGAGCTCTTTTAGTTATAGCAGCCAATATAACTAATCTACCAATTACTATTATTTCAAAATCATTTTGCATAATTTCTAAATAAAAAATATAATTTCAACTCCCATAATTTAATATCATAATCATCATAAATACCTTTTAAAATGGGTAACTGCAGTATATGAACTACAATTCAATATGTATAGCACACATAAATACGTATAAATTATGATCTTTGCGACCATATTGCGTTGCGTGGGGCGATGGAACTCGTATAGATAAATAAACTATGTGCGCCATATAGTAAGTCCAAATATCGTACACTGCAGAAAAAAGGGAAAAGAAAAGAAGCCAAGCAGTGCTGATTCATGATGCACGAATGTGAGAGCTCTTGCACGTGTACGCGCCCAAAAATAGAAATAGATAAGAAAAAAGAATGGGGAATCAAATCAAAACCAATTAATTGCCAATTAGAGACGCCCAGAAATCCTACAGATCGGAGTCAAAACATAAGCGGAACAACAGCAAGAACAGCAGCCCATTTGAACAAAAACAAAAAAGTCAAACACAATTGTTGTAGCTATTATCGGCTCGTTGTTGTTTTGTATTTGATGAGCGCTTTGTGCGCCCAGCAGTCAACGTTTAGTTTGTCCGTCAGATCAGTCGTCGGTGGAGGTTCGAAGGCCCAAAAGCAAAAATCGCAGCTGTTTAACGGCAACGACAAATGCAGAATATATTTTGCAAACACTTTGCCGCCGATCCGAGTCGAGTAAAGACGGGCGAGTGTCGAACGCAGCGCCCCGTAGTTACGCATTTGTGTTTTTTATTCAATTTAAATATCGAGGAAATACGCAAGCATAAATAAGTTTGAACAAGTGGTTCGGTTAAGTGCAAATATTAGTAGTATGTCCGTGCAGCAGCAACAACAACAAATACAACTGCAGCAACAGCAACAGCAGCAGCAGCAGCAGCGAGATGGGCTCTCCACGTTTAAAAATCATGTGACAAACATTGAAAGCCAGAAGAGGTGCGATTTAATGAATACATCCACTAGTAATATGCATTTGCCCCACATTTGCCCCGAACTTTGCCTTCACACCCGTCGCATGCGCAATCAGTTTTATTTCATTTTACAGTTTAGTTGCATTCGCAAACCAGTTCTAAGCTGCCGGCGCAACACCACCAATAAATCATACGAAGTTGCGCAAGTTGTGTACGCAACAGCCAAAATAATGTGAAAACAGACAATATAGTATAGCTGCATAGTATATAAATACAAACATACTTGTACATATGTGCCTGTGGCTATGTATTTATGCAAATGGGCGCTGCTGAGTTGGACATGCTCGCCTATATACTTGTACCGCCGGTACGGGCACAAATCACCCACTCTTGACATCCACACATCCATCATTAGCCTTTAGTCGTGTTTGAATTGAATTGAATCGAATCGAATGGAATTGAATTGAATTGATTTGTTTCGATGTCATTTCATTGAATTATTAATTTATTAAGTTTAAATGGCTTTACCTTACTTTTGTGGCATTTAAGCGCTTATTAATGATTCAGCCAAGCTCGGTTCGCTTTGGTTTCATTGTACGGTTTGGCCCATTCTGTTCCTCAACTTCAAACAAAAAGACGCCGTGAGGTGTACGAGGGGTGTACGAGTCGCGACTCGACAACCTGTTTATGCAAATCTATAGTGCGTCTTCTGTCTGCACGAATCTAGCAGACTGCGCGTCATAATTATAGCGCCAAATCGATTCAAAGTCAATGGCAAGCAAACAAACGAGGAAGCCGCGACAACGTCACGTGTTTATTCAATAGCTGCCAACAAGCTATCACCAGCAACATCACCATCACCATCATCATCACCACCATCATCATCGTCATCATCAACATCGCCTTCATTATCATAAACGTATCGACGTGAATTTTGTGTATCGTGTGATAAGAATTGTGTTAATAGTGGTGCAGTGGAAATTGTAAATGGATCACGATGCAGGTAAGTAGGAGTCAGTGATGAGACGGTAAGTCCAGTTGTAAATTTTGGGTCCTACTTAAGTAACGACACTTCAATGCCCTCAACGGTCGCCAATAAAAACCAAGTAAAGCGCTGGTATTAGACGCTGGCGGCATGCTTATCAAATCGCTCTCAGACACTTGACACATATCTGTCAGTAATGAAATAAAAATTTATTTTATCAAAACACTTAAAAATTAACTGCAAATGTGAAATCATTTCTCATGTGCTTCCAGACATCCTTGTGATGACGTTATTATCGTTTGCTTCTTACATCCTCTGCAACTAGCCAGAAACGATCCAGTGATATGCTATAATCTCTTGATACATATACTATAAGTTACGATTTTCAGTCTCATCCAACATTTCTACATCTGTGCTCGATTGCGAAAATAATTAGAACAGCCTTTCACAAATATCAATCCTTGCGAATCCTTTGAATGAAATCTGAGTGAGACAATACCACCAAAGCAGACATACTTCTACTTCTTTTATTTTTTGCATTGCCATACATTCTAGGCTATGTCCAAAATTGATATTTCGTATCATTGTTTGTGTATCTACAAGTAAGTATATACAAATCAATTAGAAAATTCGACCCAAACAGATACACAAAGGCAAGATAATTTGCCGCCAAAGTGCACACCACTGACATAAACAAAAGCGCTGCGCAGTCAACACCGACTGCTGCGCCACGATAAGCAATCAGCACGTTCGGCCGTCCATGTAGTGGCGAAAACACGAGCACATTGTGTCAGCCCACTACCCAGCACGGGTATGTTTGATATGTCAATCGAAAGATATTGATACTCCTTTAAATTGTCAAGTGTTTTTGATCGTGGAAAATACTCTCCAGAAACTTTACAGACGGGGCTATTTTTTTAAAATACTCCATATAGGATATTGAAATATGGCCAACGGTTCAAAGTTATAATAAAGAAATTATGCGAAATCTGACGTTATTATAAGTAAAAGTAAAAGATAGATTGTGTTTGGAAATTTTTATTTGTAATAATTTTTAAGGAGTGCAAGTTTTTGCAAGACAGGTGTATAACTAACTTTTTGCTTATGAATGCTACATTAGTTTATATCTTCCATATTTGATCGATCCCTGCATTCATTCTCCTCACTGTGAAACTTGAAACTTGCAATTATATGTAGCCGTAGTATTAACTTTTGATGAAGCTATAAATGAGTGAACACTAGAACTTGCTTATTCCATTTCAATATGTTAGACATCAACAATTCTGTCATCACGAAGCGATTACAAGTAATATCAGTAAATTGTTTCAGTCTAACTTTCGCCACTACTGTTACTGTTATACTGTTGATAGTCTTGTTGCCGCTGCTGCTTCAGCTGCTTCTGCTGCTTTTTGTGCCGCTGCTGCTGCGCTCTGTGTCTGTTATACCGCCTTGGCCGTTAGCTGCTGCGTCCGTCGATCGTTCAATAGCAAACAAACGATCGACCAAAACGCAAATTTGAGAGTTTTCGTGAGTGTCTGCGAGTGTGCGTATCCACTACTTAGTCGCACTAATTACTAAAAAGTTTAAGGAAGAAAGCCCGCTCTCTCGTATTCTCCAATTTCTGCTGCTGCTGCTGCTGCTACTGCTGGCTGCTTCTACTACTGCTTCAGAAGATTTTTGTTATAAAAAGGCGCGCACTGCTTAGCATAAAGCGTTTTGTTCAAAAAAGTACTCTCGCGCGCTCGCACTCGGCTGCTTCCTGTTCTGCTTTTGAAAGATTTTCGGGTAAATGCAAGTGAATTTCAGAAAGAAAAAAATAAATAAACCTACATGCTCTGATAAGGCTCAAAAACATATGTGTGTGTTCGTGTGTGTGGATGTGTGGATGTGCGTGTGTGCGTGTGTGCTATACAATCACTTGTTGGCTTTTACAATTTATATTAATAATTATGCAAATATTTGCCGGTGATTTCGCACACAAAATCGAGTAGCGTTCATACAAAAGATCGCGTAGTAATTGCGTAGGTTGCGGCTCTCAAAAATGTTTCCTATTATTTGCTTATTTATTAGGCACCCAAAATTCTTGGCGTTATCTCACTAATTTTCGGCAATACACATAAAGCTTATCAACTTTACGTTATATCCACATAACATTAAAACAAATCGCAGTACACGTACTTGCATTGCTTATCAATTTTACGTTATATCCACATAAAGTAACACAACAATAAATCGCCCCTTTGCTTCGCACATGGCAATTAAAATAGCAAATATATACATAGATCGGAATTATTGTTATTTATTTACTGCTGCATTATTTGCTTGTAATTATGTGCATTACTTAGCATTTAATTCACTATGTAATCAATTTATAAGCCAGCGCCAGCATACACACACCTCCAACTAGCAGATGAAGTGCACTCGGCTAGTTCATTCATTTTTATTTACTTTCTGTACTTACATATATATTGTACAATACGAATGCAAATAGGTATGCATTATATAACAAGGTGCAGCTGGGTTTCTGCAACCTTTCCTCCGACATAGAAACCTTTCAACTTAAGCATATGGAAGGCAAACATGCATACAGTGCAAGTATGTTTTCAAAGTTCAAAGTGTTCAACAATAGTCGCCCATAAAGTGACATTCATTTAACACTTTCCCAAGAGCACACATTAAAGTTGAAGTAGTAATATTTATAAGTACGTATATTAAACTGGAGCTATACAATTCAAATGCCTTCTCTGCCGCCCTGAAGAATACGGCTGGCATATGTTTAAAGAGCGGTCGCTCTTTGGTTCTCTAGTTTGGTGCGCGCACTATATTTATTTTTAAAATATGCCAGTTTTTGTGTTTGGAAATTCGTGTTGTATATAAATACAGCTGATATATGTGCACATACATACAAGTATATATATAGGCACGCACATTAATAGGCACACATAGCATATTTCATGTGCTTTAAAGCTGCTATGCGTAGCTAAATGTTTCATCAACAATAATCGAAGGCACACTCTTATCAGCATTAACTTGGAAAAAATATATACATATACATACTTGTATGTGTATACAGTAGTATATTCGTAAAGGCTACTTTTTGGCTTGGGGTCAAGCGCTCTAAGTGTTAGCTAAGTCTGAGCGCAGCTTGATAACTAGCCTTCAAAATACATATATTTGAATCAAAATGAGATCATGCAGCAGCGACTAAGATTTTGTAGGATTTCCAAACCACAATAATTTACATAATGTGTTATTTTTATTTTTTGCGGTCTCAAGGCCTGGAACTTGTTGATAAAATATGTTGCTTGTAGTCTAAATATGAAACCAACAGTATCGTCCAACAATATGTTGCGTAAGTCTGTCGGCTGCTCTTGCGATTGCTACGTATTTTTGAATTCCACTTCTATAGATCTCATAAAAAGAGCGAACAACATTTTTGAACAATCGCGCGCGTGGGTAGCACTTTATTTTTCTTTTATTCCTTAGGTGAAATTTTCGCCGGACATTGGCTTACTTGTTTATTTAGCTTTTTGAATTGACAAGTTGTAGGTGTGCCAATATGTCGAGTTACATAATGCGATCTGGCACATGGCTTTGATTAAATCTACTTATAGGCCAGCTAATTGAGTCAACCTGCCGAACTCGCTAATTTATGCTAAACAAATTGATAAATTAATATTAGCTGGGGTACTCGTATGTTTCCTATGCACCCATCTAACAATTTAATGAACGCTAATTTGAAATTTCTCGTCGCGCTGTCAGAAGTTTCATTCCATATTTATTTTAACAATTCTGATCAAATTCGTCATCATATGACTGACTGCTCGACTGTGGCGATAAACTGGTTTCGTTCCGTTACATTTCTGTCAAACCGGTTGATAAATACTTGTATGGTATGAAATATTCGGACAATCAGCAATCAAATATGAAGCTTTAAACAGTTTGTAACAAATGAGTGGGCACTTTTAAATTAAGTATACGCCTCGTGATGCGTTTTTTATGCAGACATTTCAATAATCACATGGCATCAGAGTATATGGCCAAAAAATGACTCATTTTAATAATACAAACCAAATCGAAATTAAACGGAAATGAGCACCTTTGTTCCTTGCTATTCAATTGTTATGCCTTGTTAACTTGTTTCTAGACAAAGAAAATCAAATTATTTTAAAATCACTATCAATTCTTATATATTAATACAAATGAAATTATTATTTTAAACAAACAACATTTTATTATCACTTAATCAGAGAGTAGCCTATCATCTAGCACCTAGCTGAAATTTCTTTACACATAAATATTCAGTTGGTAGTGACGAGGTCTTCGGTGCTTGTCGGTCGTTCTAGCTTTTGGGAAAGAAGCATGTTCGGGTTTCAAAGCAGAGCCATGATCGCGCCACTCTAAGCCAATTATAAGATAACATGCGTCTGAAGGTTTGCGATTAGACTGTGCACAGTGATAGTCCAAGTTTAATGCAGTATCTCCAAATTTTCTGGCATTTGTTTATTTTACTGCTACAGCGAAGGTGAATCTAAAATAGAAGCAAATGCTAACATAATTTAACTCAATTATAAAGATAATGTTATATCAAAGAAGAGTATATATCCAAGATCAGCACGACGACGTATGGTATTAAAGCCCCATCCAGCACATCAGTCTCTTTTTCTTAGAAGCTAGAAAGTGGGCAACACCCGCAAGCCCGATCTTTAAATAATTCATCCGACATCTGAGTGCTTCAGGAATATTGAGCTTGCATTTGTAATTCATGTTAATTGTGTTATTTACTCGTTCATAGCTAGCTAGTACGGCCATGATTGAAGCTCATCACTGATTCTGTCCATGATTTATAGCTTGCACACGCTTTCAATTGCATAATGAGGAATTTTGCAGTCGAGTAGCTGCTCGTGTTAGACGTTATCGCAGTAGCATCGGTGACAGTAAAAAAAGAAAAACAAACTCTCTAGATTAATTGCAAACAATGTAAGGTAGGGCTGGCTTGATTAGAATTTTAAAAAATTCACTATAATTTACACGCATTGGCGTTTCAACAGAGTTCCAACCTAGGGAAATAGCTTCTTTGGCTTCGACTAATGCCGATAGCTTGAAAATGACATACAAAGCAAAGTAAATACCATAAAAAGACAATTGATTATAATTGCAGGGCTTATAGTTTTTCCCCTTTACTGAAAACTTGTAATCAACTGCATTAATTTTCATATTTTGCTGTAAGCTCAAACAAGCAGCAAACTTTCCAGTTATGCAAAATTTGTTCTCCAGCCGTTCTCTGAAAGTTTCGCCTCCCGACAATGGCCAATTAATACTAATGAAATAAAGTTTGTTGCCTGTTAGACGAGATAGTTGGACGCTTCAGACGGACTCCCATAACGGAACCTTCACTTCAGCAGACGCATCAAAAGTCACACGACCTCCTACTTCATAGCTACAAGTAAGTGGCCAAGTTGTTATCACTGAGTAAATAGGCATAGGGAAATGTAGAGCGCGCCGTGCTGTTGACTAATAAAAACCCCAACAACAACAGCAACAAAATGCTCATACATAGACTACCAGCACTGAGGTAGCTTGTGCCGCTGCTGCTGCCGCAACCCCTATGGAGGCCTTTGGCTTGTTGCGCAATTAAAACGTCAACAGCTCCGCTGATAAGATGGCTCTGTGATAAGCGTCTTATAGAAATTGCAAAGCGGCCACATGTGCGCTGAATGGAAAGCTTGAGGCGTTAGTTCTGTGGCTCGACAAACAATTTTCAGTGTCGTCGTTGGCAGGCAAGATCAATAGCGGACGTCACATTTATTATATGCCTACACACTTATAAGTATGTACATATGTTTATAGGTAGTTAGGTACGTCCTAAGCAATAGACATCGTCACTATGATAAGGCGGTGCAGTTCGTGATCAAGTAGTATAATGAGTTGAATTAAGTAGTAGTTTTTGCAATATGAGAAACGAAATTACGACAATCATATCACAAGCTGACGCTCTTCAATATTCAGTTGATATATTGTACAATATAAGACTCATATACGTGTACAATCAGCGAAAAAATCAAGTTTTTCATTCCACAATTTAGGCATGATGGGTTGTCAATTGTTGGTAACAATTGAAAATAATTATCAAATGCATTCCTTATCTTCTTTCTTAATTAAAAAAAAACAATTTTGTTGGCTTATTCTATTTTCTTTACAAGTACATTAACATTAGAAGTTTATTTTTAAGCTTTCTTAGTCAATGTGTATTTTTTTTTTTTGAATCAATAAACACTTTCAATGCTGAATACTTAATTAAATCGATAAATGTACTCTGAATGCTTGTAGTAGAGTACAGCCCATAGTGCACTCAGAAAGGTTGAAAAACCCACTTGGAAATTCTAGACGCCAAATAAATCATTTTTGAAGGTGGCAACCGACTATCGATCACAAGTCCCTTGGCTAATTTAAGTGTAATTTAGCCTTGAAATTCGAGCTGGAATCAAAACAAATCAGCGAAAACTGAATATTCTGTGACACCACTATGTATAGCGACAACTCCTATTTCTATTTCCTATTTCTCCTATTTCTAATGCTCGGGCGATCTCCCACAAGTCTGATGTTGATGGTGGTGTTTCACACAACTTTTCTCTGAGTGTATACAATATGTGTTGAAGTAGGTACATATTGTGTGTGTATAACAATACGCACTCAATTACCTTATCATTTTCAAAGCCTGATACACACAAGTACAAACAAAAAGTCTAGGTAAACCGTGTCAAAGTCTGTGGCGACACATGTCAGCGCCGTCTGTCACATCTAGTGGCGATGACTTAACCCCCTCCGTTTCCACCGACGCATCGGCGCATACGCAATTGTGTAGACTCGATGAAACAAATATTCGTAGTTTCATTGTCAAGTGATATCTATCAGTGCAGTCATAAGTTTCGATTATCGTCAGTTAATGAGCTTTTTATATGGCGTGTTTGGCTAAGCCATAATAATGTTTATAGCCCAGCACTTTGGGCTAATCGCTACTTAAGTAGTGTTTTTGGGGGCTCATTAAGTTATAAACGCTTTGATTGAGCATGAAGTGTGCATTACTCTCAAGTGTTTATTAACAACATAACATTTAGCCCTTAAATATTGAAACATACTTTTGCTTTAATACGATTTTAAAGGCACAACTTTTTAAATCTACTGGATGGATTTTCAATCCAAATTCATGCAATTTGAGCTCACTAACCATCATTTAAATGGATTTTTCGTTTGCAATGCAGCTTTGTCTGTTGATGTACTCGTAAATGGTTTATGAGTGCAAAGATACGCTGGAATTTATTTATGTACATATATGTGTCTGTGTAAAGCTAAAGGAGCTATGCGGTTTTGACTTTTATTAGAAAATTAATGACTTGCACAGTTCCTTTGAATACAAAATTAATATCTAGCTTTACTGCAAACGAAAGAAATTGCTTTCGAGTTCTTAGAACTAGCGTTTATTTGTATTTGTGAGATTTGGAAACTAATGTGCATTGTTGACTAAATACTACTAAATTGTTGTGCAATATTCAAATTAAAGTCGGCAAACGATTATAATATGACTTCGCAGAATTATCAGCAACAAATGAAGCCATTTTAATTATCGATTGTCAAAAATACACTAAAAGTTAATATTCAGCAATTCTATTGTAATTTCGTTAATTTTATAAATGCAGTAATAAATTATATTAACTGATTCCCACATTTTAGATTAACACTTTGCTCAAGGGTTGATTGCAATAATTAGATAAATACTATTAACAATTGCACTATACGCTAAACATTGTCAGCTGAACAAATTAAAAATTCAGCAATGATTTAATTACACTCTCAGATCCCTTTAGGTTCTAAAGTTGCTTACTTACTTGTTTTATTAGTACGAGTATTAAGCATGACAACATTTATGAATAGCATGCACACGACTTTTCCCGGGGGCTATCATAATTACATAAACAAATATAGTAGGTATGCTAATGTCAATTGAGCTGTGATTCGATTTCAAACAAAATACTCAGATAAATGGTAGTCAAGTAATGAAGGTGTGGAAGTTCCAACCCATCGCAAGCGGGCTTAGAAATTAACATTTAATTCCACGGCCCACCTCTAGTTGGTCAAGTCTTATGAGCGAATATACGAATAGAATGTTTAACACTATTGTGAGGCTAGTGCGACACTTTTTTGACCATTACTGCCAGTGCGTGCTTGGCATCTTGATTGAGATGTACTTTTAAAAACAGTTCACAATTCCCCAACAACTTTCATTTGAGTGGCGTACCTGTCCCGCAATAGTTTAAATGTTTGATTTTCAAGTTAGCTTGATACTTTGGTTTCACCTTTTTATTACCGCCCAGCCACTACAAAAACAATTGCAAATATTGGTCGTAGACATGTAAAAAGTTGTGATAATCGGGTAGCAAAATATTGATTGTGTTTTGTTGGCTTGTGTGAAATATAAATATGTGCATCAAAATATTCGCAAAGAAAATGTTTAGCAAAGTTTCAGGATTCTCGAAAATTTTTATTTTTGCCACATAAAAACACAAATATAAAAAATGCATACTATATAGATAGATTTACTTATATAATGCTCAATTTTTGCTGTCACTAAGCCATTCTAGCTAGGTGTTAACTATAAAAATGTTTATGGGAATGGGAATTAAGATCAAAAGGTTATCAAGAAATGCAAAATCGACAAACTTATGCAACAATGAAAAAAAAAAACTATTGAAAAAACGTAGGGCTATTAAAAATGTATACTATATGTGTAACCCAGAGGTAGCCATAGAAATAATAAAAAATCTCGACGACTACATATACATACTTGTATATATGTACATATAAGAGTATATACATGCTTATAATAAATTGAATTCAGCGCTGCTGATAAACGCATCACTGCACATTCGCACTCTGCGAGCTTCATTCAGAAGTTGCCTTCGTGTGCACAATTTTCTATACTACAAGTACATGTTGTTAGTTATGATCAATTAATATGCATTGAGACATTTAACGCAACTTGCGTGCATTTATGGGCCCATAACGTTCACTCAGATGACTGTGTGATGGGACCTGACACGACCATGTCGGTCGACGCTTAACTTAAAGGCAGGCGGAATGCACAAAGGCCTGCTGTTTACGCCTCAAATGATTGCCGGACTGCGATTTGTTTACCACATTGCGTAGCGCATGCAACGCAATTTCAATTGCACTTGCAATTGCAATTGTCGTTGCAATTGATAGGCCTACTTGTAATTGATAGGCATTGTTGTTGTTCTTATCAGAAGACCTTTGGAGTTGTTGTCAGCATCACCGACAACGTCAACGTCACGCATCGCAAACCTTGCCCTGTTCACTTAAAGGCGCTCTACGTATATACGTATATAGTAGTATGCAGTATTTATAGGCACCACTTGCAGTTTTAACTTGTAAGTAGCGAGGCATGATCTAGGCCAAACATTTGTGATGGAAATGTGCCAGCCAGATAACAGAGTCTGGTATTACTTTTACTTAATTGCTTCTATTTTCTTTGGAATTTACCCACGACATAGCTATTAAAAGAATAAAAGGTGTCAAGTCAGCAGCTACTGTATAAATCGTGCCCCAGAGAGCCTCATCTGTGTGGGAACCCGCTCATAAATTCTGGACACTTGACTTTTTTATGCTTTTGCGCTCAGTGCTAGACGCTCGGCGCTGGGCGTTTGTCGCTCGTTGTTTGAGGATTTGCTATTTTTTATACATTGGGCTCTCAGCAGCTAAAAATGGGATTTGACTTACGCAGAATATATAGGTATATATACAATTTAGATAGATATACGTATAAATATTTGACTATGAGCAACTACAGCGCTCAGAATGACATTGACAGTCGCACTGTCATTTTGTAAATTCAACGCGACCAGTACGCTTGGGTGTTAAAAAGATAGAAACAACTATTTGAATCATTCCTAAGTTTCTCTCTAACTGAGACATTTTAATTGCATTTACTTCAATACGAATTGAAATACAAATCGATTCCAGAATGAGTCGCGAGTGCGTTGATCGGTAATTAAAGAAAGTTATTTATAAAAGGGATAAATACATATAAATAAATTGAATATTTAACTGTCTGTGTGCAATAAAGGCATCCAGAAACTGACATAAAATATTTTTAAAAATGATTGAGTCAATCAAATTTCTAAGCAATTCGCGAACTTTCTTTGACCTTCAGATTTGAATTCTATGCGATGAGCACTCTTATAGAAAGAATCAGTTGATTTTCACATCATCGCAAACAAAATTAATAATATTATTAATAAAAGATCCCGAAAATATGTGAAGTCTTAGATACAAGTATGGCTACAAATGATATTAATTATACTTGTAGTTTCTTTTTTAATTACAAAACCCATAATATACCCATGAAAGGAAAATTACTTCAGTGATCATGGATAACAGACAGAAAATTTATAGAAATGATAAGCCGCAAACAAAAAAATAAAAAAAACCCTAGTGGCATTAAAAAAATCATTTAAGTCAACACAAGTGTGCGATAACCAACGGAAATTATAGTTAACTGTGATGATATTATTATAACTTTTTGACAATCTAAGATTACGAGAGACAAATAAGTAAACGAGTCAGCTTTATGGAACTACTGGAATATTTCAATCAGCCAGTGTCTTCACGACAATGAGCAAGTGTGCGCAAGTTTGAGGTTTGAGAATAATACAAAAAGGATAATCACCAGCAATGGAGGACAAAAGCCAGTCAGCAGGTCCAAAAGAGACGCGGCTAGAAATGAGCAGGTCTATAGTTAATGTCGATATTAAATGTATTCTAGTCTCGGTTGTTTACGCAATATTGACGGAAATCCAATCATTGAGCCAAGAGCATTCCTCGGTTATTTATCAATAACTTATCAGAATAAGAAACAAAATGTAGCGAAGAGTGCGTGAATGCGTGTGTATGTTTGTGCATTTGTTAGGAATTAAGAGCTAATATCAAGCTCTGTAGTGAGCATGATAAATGAGTTGCCTGCAAACGAATGAATGTCCCGTTAATTTCCAGTTGCTTGAAGCGTCTTAAAATGAACGGATCAACCCTGGATAAGATTTGCGCCTTCCTCGGCGAGCTGATTGGCACCGGCATGCTCGTCTTCTTGGGCTGCATGGGCTGTGTGAAGACAGATCTGTTCCCGAACAATCACCTGCAGATCATTCTCAACTTTGGTTTGGCCGTCATGATTTGTATTCAGTGTTTCGGTTGTGTATCGGGCGCTCACTTGAATCCCGCCGTCACCGTAGCTGCTTACATCTACGACATGGTGACACTGCAAATGGCATTTGTGTACTTTGTTGCTCAAATGCTGGGTGCTTTCATCGGTTATGGCTTGCTGAAGGTTCTGCTGCCCGAGGAGACCATGACCGTCGGCTCTGGCCTGTGTGTTACAGCGCCCCATCCCACTATCTCATCGATTCAGGGCTGCGGCATTGAATTTGTCGTAACCGCTATTCTAATCCTTGTCTGCTGCGGCGTTTGGGATCCCCGTAACTCCAAATTCCATGACTCGGTCGCCATTCGTTTCGGCTTGGCCATATCTTGTTTGGCCTGCGCTGCGGTAAGTTAATGCCGATGCTCAATATTTAGACAAATTCAACTCAGTGTGATCATTTTTCTTGTAGGGTCCCTTCACCGGTGCCAGCATGAACCCGGCCAGGTCTTTTGCCCCTGCTCTCTGGAATGGTTCATTTGATGCCCACTGGATTTACTGGATCGGCCCATTGGCAGCTGCTGGCATCACAGCTATTGCCTACAAGACTGTATTCAGGCGAGAGGTTGTCGAGGCCCAGACCAGCGAAAAGTTGCGTCAGCTGGAGGACGTACAGCTCTCATAAACGATGTCGTGCAGGTGCCAAAGACATTGCGAAATAATGTTCTAAGAACATTTTCTAATAAATTTAATTTTAAGCTAAATCCGTCGAATTTTATATTAATGCAAACACTGCAAACAAATATAAATCGTTCGAAAATAAAAACAATCCACTCTTTTATTCCAATAATAATGCATTGTGGCTATATTGCGTATACGTTATGAATGTATTCAACGCACGCCCTAAAAGTATGCAACATTATTATTTGACGCAATTAATTCATGTACATACATTTTTTTTTAATGGTCTTTTAAAGTGGATTGTATAATGCCGATATTTTCTTTATTTTATTATTCCCTGTAATTTAAGGGTAAGAGGATATCTTAATTCTCTAGCCGATCCGGTAATGTTCAGAAAAGATCTAATTTTTATTCCCTTTGGGTTGATTTTCTTATTGGTCTTACGTTGTGCGTTAAAAATATGTAAAATTTCACATTTCTGTATTTTAAGGGAGCATTAGGGGAAATATTAATTGCAAAGAACACTTTTAAGTACATGTATTATTAGGTTTTCAGTAATAAAAAGGCAACGGTCAAGGTCCCTACTTTATTTCCCTTAATGTAGATTTGTACTTGCTGTAATGATGATTGCTAAATAGTTCGTTCTCTTAGTTGCGGTTGCAGCTTAATATTTTATATTCAATATTTAGTAAAGTCTGCAAGTGCTAATATAATAATATTGAAGGAAGTTAGAAACATATTGATTAGAGCTTACCATGCCACCATAAATGCAAAAATAATTTGGAAAATGATTCCTATATATTGGCTATTATAAAAAAACTAACATTCATGTTCGATTTAAAGAGTTGTAAGCACAATTTATGTCGTTTTCTGTTGATGTTTGGACTCAATAACTTTAAAAGGAAGTAATACTTGATATAAGCTTCAAAAGTTATTTAAATCGACTAAAAAATTCCAATAGGTATATGTTTACTAATAAGACTAAAGAGTTTAGTTGATAAGATGAAGATGACAAGAACATTTTAGAGCATTAAGTTTTAAACTTTTCTCAGAGAACATGGTAAGATAGAAAGCTATCCCCCCTAAAGTATGCTATAAATAAAATTTTATGGTTTTCCCAAAAGCCATATCATATCATATCATTAATCAAATACACTTAACGCTTATTTCGATAGCAGCAACAGCAAAACTCTGGCAATACCTTGGTTATTGGCTATGGATTAGAATCTTAGCCATGCGCAGTTACGATAAGATTAAACTGAGCCTAGCTACCCTGGTTACGGCTTAAGCTAGCCACGAGGCACAAATATGTATGTGAACCAGTTGCGAATATGTGTCAGCCATAACATTATCAGGGTACCTAATTATGTGAAGAAGCCGCATTAACCAGGCTTTGATTAATTGATTTATGAACGAGTTACCAAACGTATGGTATTCGTCTTTTATGAAACATTGAAAGAAGCCTAATGTAGCGCCAGTGCTACAACAGTTGCTTATCAATCTAAACAAGAAAGGAATTTGTAGAGTGGATCGGCCTAACTTCTGAATACCCTATTGGAGTTTATACAACGTACATAGACACAGAAAGGGCAGAATGGACACAGAATGGGCAGCGATTAAATGAAACTTAACATGAGCACACAAAGGCTCCAACAGGTTGTAATTGTAGAATAAACAATTTGTACCAATTACGGAAGCTATAAAAAACATATAACCAGGCGAATGGGTGGATGCCTTAGAAAAAAATTACAAACTAGTCCTTTCTCGGACTGCAAAGAATCTGAGCTCCATGCGTTCTTACAGACATTCAGACTGGCTGTTGACTTGTCTTGTCATAATGATCAAGAATTCATACACGCCTTTTTTCCTGTGTATTATATACATCCGCACTTCACTAGTATACCATTCTACCCCTTGCATTCAGGGTATAAAAATATCCATAGCATTAAGGTTTTATAATTGATTTTGATTGATTGAATTCGGCGCTTGTGTCGAAAAGTTGTGCCTACTGTTTAGCAGGTAGATCACAATGAACGCAGTTGTGCGGAATACTTTTTGTAGACATGTCGAAAGAGGAGTTTGATGAGAGACGCTGCTGGCTACAGCCTCAGCAAAGAGTGAAAGTTGCCGCCTTCTTTGGAGAGCTCGTGGGCACCGCCATGTTGGTGTTCGTCGGCTGCATGGGCTGCATAACTACGCCCCTGTTTACCAACACCACACTCCAGAGCGGCCTGAACTTTGGACTGGCGTTAATGATCGCCATACAGTGCTATGGCAGCGTCTCTGGAGCACATCTCAACCCTGCTATCACGCTGGCCGCCCTCATCTACGGTGTGCTGTCTCCTCTAATGGCCGTTGCGTATTTTGTGGCCCAAGTGGCTGGTGCTCTCATTGGATTTGGCTTGCTGGTGGCCGTGATGCCGGGCAATGCTATTAAGGGACCTGATCAACCCGCTGGCGTATGCGTAACGGTCTTGAGTAGCGATGTTAGCGTTTTGCAGGGCGTTTTTATTGAGTTTCTCATCACATGCTGTCTTATAATGGTTGCATGCTCGGTTTGGGACCCACGTAATGCCAAATTTAAGGACTCTCTACCATTGCGATTCGGATTAACGTTGGGAAGCCTCATATTGGCAGCGGTGCGTATAAGAGACAGATTTATGGTTTTTAAAAATAAAGCTTAACATTTATATTTGGTGTAGGGTTCGTTCACCGGTGCCAGCATGAATCCCACACGATCTCTCGGCCCGGCCGTGTGGAATGATTCCTGGGAGCATCATTGGATCTATTGGGTGGGTCCATTGGCGGCCGGTGCTATTACATCGCTCATCTATAGATACGCCTTCAAGGGTGAAGAAGTGCACGAGTTACGGATGTCCAAAGCAAAAATACGCATCGTTGACAATATTATAATGTCGTAAAGACCAACAACGAACAAAACCAAAATTTATTTATTTGAAGGCCTTGAATAAACAAATAAATTTCTAAGTTATCAATAGAGCTTATCTTCAATTCAAAATGCTTAATTGGGTAATGGATTATAATCAAAAAGATTAGCGTGCTTAACCATTTAAATAGTTTCCGTTCCGCAATAGAGACAAGCACAACCATATTTAGTTAAGTGCAAGCGTGAAATATGTACAATAAAAGCAAAAAGGTCCTGCGCGATCAAAAAACAAAGTGAGAACTGTGTATTATTATGGAATACTCTGAAACAGATGCATGTGAAAACAAATATCTATCGAAATAAATTAGTTCGGAAGTTTAAAAACCACCCAAAATAGGGTGAATTTTTCATGTGCATATATCATTAAAACTTCATAAAAAAACATCACACGTATAGAAAAGTATTTATGATATTGAAATAATACCAGAGAAATGCTCAAACTGATATTTATTTATTCCACCTTGCAGTCGCGCGCAGCGGTGGCAGCCACATTTGGACAAATTGTGTGTATTCTTTGGCGAACTAATTGCCACAGCCCTGCTCATGTTCCTCGGCTGCATGGGATGTGTGTCGACGAGCGCTTTTTCGAATAGCCACTTGCAAAGCGCTCTTAACTTTGGCTTCGTCGTGCTGATTTGCATTCAGTGCTTTGGCTGTGTATCGGGCGCTCATCTTAATCCCGCCGTCACTCTGGCCGCCTATGTCTACAGACAGCTCTCACTGACCATGGTTGTTGTGTACTTTGTAGCCCAAATGCTTGGCTCATTCATCGGCTATGGACTGCTGAAGGCAGTGCTGCCCGGTAGCGCCATTAATGGACCAGAAACACCGAAAGGAGTTTGTGTAACGGCCATACACAGCGACCTTAATCCGCTGCAGGGACTGTTCATTGAGTTTCTCATCACAGTTGCTCTGATAACCATTTGCTGCGCTGTCTGGGACCCACGCAATGCCAAATTTCAGGACTCGGTGGCGGTACGATTTGGCTTAGCCATTGCCTGTCTGTCAGTGGCTGCGGTATGTATGATGTTTCATTTTCAATAAAATGACATTATTTCCATTTCTTGTGTACTCGTATTTGCAGGGCCAGTTCACGGGTGCCAGTATGAATCCAGCACGATCCTTTGGGCCGGCCCTATGGAATGGTTTCTGGGAAAACCATTGGGTATATTGGGTGGGACCATTGGCAGGCGCACTAATTGCATCGCTCATCTACAAGTACGCCTTTAGGCGCGAAGTGCAGGCGGACAGAGCCAAAGCAGATGTCGTTCCGGAGCTGCCATAACTATTAAAAAACACAATTTGGTTGTTCTTAATATAAAACGTTTAAGTTTTAAGGTGTCACTGCGTTTAATACTATGATATAATTAATTTAATTTGAGCTACCAAGCAAAAAACTGTGCTTTAAATACTTCAATATTTTAAGGGCATTTAGTTAAAATAAACATTCTCGTATCAATCATTTATGTTTTTTAACGAAACTTTCGATTACATTGAGGAACTATAAGAAAAATTCCAATTTTGATTGCAACATTAACAAACAGATTTTTGGTACTAAGCTTGATTAATTCACCGATCATTCTTATGACAGCTTAATGATATAGTGGAACGATTTGATAATGCATACGGACGAATAGACAGACGAAACTACGAACATGTCCATACGCGACGTGTTGATTATACTTATACACAAGTATAATATTACGTCTGGAGTCTTCTGCCTGTTACATATGCGCTTAGAGTTTCTAGTGTACCCTTCTAGTTCGCACTTCAAATATGAAAGCATTTCCCAAGAGGTCTAAGCATTAGCATGCATACTTAAGTATACTAAGTATATAGATAGAATGTTGAAATGTGTGTGGTCAAGGGCAAAAAATTTTTCCATACAAAGTCGACCACACGTTAATTATTATAGCACACTATTTCGCCTTAGAATGGAACTGAGTTGGATTTGTTGAAGTTTTTTCATTGATCATTATTTAATCAAAATTTTAATTTTTAGCGTGACTCTGTGTGCATGTGTGGGTTGGTGAGTTGAAAACAAAATACAAACTCGTCCCTTCTTGGACTTAGGAGAATCTGGATACCAAATTTTGTTATTCTAGCTCCTATACTTTCTGAGGTCCGTTCCTACAGGCGGACGGACGGACGGGGAAACGGACATTTTCATATCGACTCGTCTGGTCATACTAATCAAGGATATGTATGCTAGGTGGGGTTTGCCCCGCGTCTTGCTGTGTGTTACATGTATACTCCCACCAAACTAATATACCCTTTTACCCATTGGGTATAGGGTGTAACAAGCAACCATCCAGATTACCACTCACCTTTGTATATGATTCAGGCACTTGGAAAATTTGTACTTGTAGATTAAAAATCAAAACGCAACAAATGTGGGTTTGTTTACCTATAGGTTCCTGATTACGATGCCCGATAATTGGTATTAACGCTTGATAACTGTCAATTGGCAATGTTATGGTTTAAGCAAACTCAAAGTCTATAGTATTTTGCAAGACAATTAAGTTGTTTGGCCCCACAAGTGCTTGCTCGGACCTACAGTAGCCGGAATTAATCAGCAAACGTAATGAAAGCAGCACTCGAACTGTCCTAGTACCATACCAAACCACTCTGACAATACTCTGACCATTGCGCTCGAACAGTTTCCCGTTTCAACTGAAAGCCAAATAACGTACACCATTTCGATATGCCTGAACATCAATTTAACAGTACTGAGTGAGGATAAGACCTACCTATATGTCCTGTCGATGCCAAAACTGATATTGATTTTTTCCACCTTGCAGTCGCGCGCAGCGGTGGCAGCCACATTTGGACAAATTGTGTGTATTCTTTGGCGAACTAATTGCCACAGCCCTGCTCATGTTCCTCGGCTGCATGGGATGTGTGTCGACGAGCGCTTTTTCCAACAGCCACTTGCAAAGCGCTCTTAACTTTGGCTTCGTCGTGCTGCTTTGCATTCAGTGCTTTGGCTGTGTGTCGGGCGCTCATCTTAATCCCGCCGTCACGCTGGCCGCCTATGTCTACAGGCACCTCTCGCTGACCATGGTTGTTGTGTACTTTGTGGGCCAAATGCTTGGCTCATTCATCGGGTATGGACTACTGAAGGCAGTGCTGCCCGGTAGCGCCATTAATGGACCAGAAACACCGAGTTTGGAGTTTGTGTAACGGCCATACACAGCGACCTTAATCCGCTGCAGGGATTGTTCATTGAGTTTATTTTCACAGTTGCACTGATAACGATGTGCTGCGCTGTCTGGGACCCACGGAATTCTAAATTTCAGGATTCGCTGGCGGTACGATTTGGCTTAGCCATTGCCGGTCTGTCATTGGCTGGGGTATGCATTCACTTAATTTCAAATAAAATGGCATTAAATCTATTTCTTGAGTACTTGTACTTGCAGGGCCAGTTCACGGGTGCCAGCATGAATCCAGCACGATCCTTTGGGCCGGCCCTATGGAATGGTTTCTGGGAGAACCATTGGATATATTGGGTGGGTCCATTGGCAGCCGCACTTATTGCATCGCCCATCTACAAGTACGCCTTTAGGCATGAAGTGCAGGCGGACAGAGCCAAAGAAGATGTCGTTCCTGAGGAGGTGCTGCCTTGAACTCTTCGAAACACAAATTGATTGTTCTTAACATAGTACAAAACGATTAAGTTTTAAGGTGTCATAGCATTTAATTCGAAATACCTTCATTTTATTTGAGTAAACAAGCAGAATGTATAGGATCAAAGGCGTAGGCAGCTTTTACCAAAGGGGGGGGCCCAAAAATTTATTAAATTAAAAAATAACTTATGCATATGATCAATCAAAAATTCAACAAATCCAACTCAGGATGAAGCTTATTTTATTCTTAGATAAGAATAGCATTAATATTACAAAGGACGTGCAATAAATTTGGCATAGGTTTTTAAACATTCATTTTTTATACTCTTTTTATACAAATAAGAAATAAACGATTTTCTTATTGAAATTTCCCTTTTTTTCGTTTTACTATTTTGTTAATTTTCTACACATAGGTACAGAGTGTTTCGAAGTCGAATTTAGCCTTTCCACTTGTTTTTATTTTTGGTTTTGCATAAATAAATGAGGATATTATTAACCAAGCATAGATATTCAACGATTAAAGCTTAACCTAAGCATCAGTTCCCATAGCTTTGTCAACTGCGAAACGTAGAGGGTTACTGGCAACGTGAAATGCATTCAACTTGAAACTATTTGGCAGTCAGCATTGATTGCGATTTATGGCCGGCACTAGCGGCCAAGTACCTGACAGCAAAGTGTACAGACGCTGATGAATGCTCGAACACGAAATGACAAATGCAACCGAAAAAGCTTTGATTCAACGAAACTAATACTGGGTACATTCGATATACATATGTATTTTCCTTATAATATGTTATGATCTATATTACTGGCCCAGAATGATCACAGCTTAATACCTCTACCTTACGGTAGTGCGGGGAGTATGCATACTGCCATAAATAGGGCACTATAAAGGCTGCTACCAGTTGACCGCCCACCTGCAGGACCACAGTGTCCGGGTTCCCCTTAAAAAGAGTCGGTACAAGCATCTTGACCGGATTCATCGAGGCGCCTGTCAGCTGACCCTGTGTAAAATATAAATGATTGAATAGTTAATGTAATAGAATAATTGGGTAGTTGAAATTGGAATTGGAAAAGAAAAACTTACGCCTGCCATACAACACGCCATGACCAGGCAGCCCATGCGCAATGTCACAGAGTCCAGGAAACGTCCACTGCGCACATCCCAGAGAGCACTCCAGCCCAGCAACAAGACCGAAGTCAAGAAACACTCAATGCCAAAGATTTGCACATTAGATAGACTTCCCATGGGTTCGACCATACAAACCCCTGGTTTGCTGCCATCTATCAAGTCTTGAGGTAGCATTTGGAGCAATAGAAAATAGCCAAATATGGCACCCGTCAGTTGACAGGTCACATAGATAAGCATCATCTCACTGCCAATATAGCCAAGGAGCCAGCATGCAATCGAGATGCACGGATTGGCATGGGCGCCTGAGATAAAACCAAAAATGTGCATGACAATGACAATTGTCAGGCCGTTGTGTACGCTTGTCATGAAACTCGCATTCCCATCTTGGCCATTTACTGTGGAGCCCATGCAGCCGACCATAATTAATATGGCCGTGCTGCTAAACTCCCCAAAGCTGCGCATAACAGTGAAAAAGTCCAAACCCATAATGTAAATAGGTAAAAACTGTTTAATTTAGGAAACTAGTTATGAACGCACCAATCTCGGTTTGTATGTATAAGTTTTAGTTTAAGTTTATTTATGAAACAAATTTTACTGACGTTTTCAACTGACGTTCAAACAACTCCATTAGGGCTTGACGAGTTTGGAACTTGGTGGAAAATTACCGCACACCCAAGAGGCGTCGGCGGAAGTCTGCAAAGTCAAGGCATCCGGCAAGCTTGCCGCCTTAAAGGATGCGATTAATTGGGTGTTTGTGGTTTGTATCGTGCTTGTCCACATAAAGAAAATACAAACAAACACATTCAAGGCAAAGAGTATATGATGCGTGTATAGTTCGCCAGCAAAAGGAAAGTATATTTAATTATGATTCACTTACAGAAAATAAAATATTTGCAGTGAATGTAGTATAATAGCCATATGTGCGAGTATGTACTTGCATAAAAATGCCAGTATAACGAATGAAAATCACCATTCACTTTTAAGCGTTCTAGCACGTTTAATTGTAAATGCACCTTCCGTTAATCTAGTCTATAGAGAACGTAAAATAATAATCGAATCGTTTTATTGCTTGCTCCATTATTATTTATCAATTAAATTTTTAATTAAAATTTAACTTTTTTGAGGCCATTTTCAACATTTATAATTTTAAAGACACATCTCGCTAAATTTATAGCTGGAAGTTCAGGGGAAATATTACCATATTTATGGTTACCCCTGATTTTCGAAGTCCTTTGTTAGCATTTGCTATAAACTTTGACTATGACTTAGCCAATTGCTCAACCAAGTTCTCTCATAAAAGCTTTCAGCTGTTACTGTTGCATTTGTTTTTGTACATAACTGTATGCGTATGTATATACATATGTACATATGGGCCCACTGTTTTTCAGATTGGATTGAAGAATAAGAAGTGTTTTTTTACCTATATAATATAAAAAATCATTCCTTGATACTTTGGCTAACAACATTTAAATTTTAAAGGCAATGAATAAATTACAAATTTTTGTTTGTTCTACTTATTGTTATAAATATTGATTTTGTTTTGTTATTGATTTGTCGGCATTTTATTGACACCATGCCTAACATCAATAATACTTGTATACATTTTTGGTATAGCTTAATGTATTGCAGATCTAAATCTGGTGAAAGTGCACGTTTTCAAATCTGAGACTTTAATACATTACAGTATATTTCGGACGGAATTAAACTAAAAACATTCCCATATTATTTCTGCAGAGATAATATTAAGATTAAAATCTGCGTTCGGGTGTCGTATTTTTGGGACTAAGTTAGGTACCTCTGCAAAATTTGTATTAAGCGTCTCTGCTGGAATCCCACAATTGATTGAGGGACTTTTGGGTAAATTGAAATGCAGCAAAGTGCTGCCAGCCTGTTACAAAAATCATAGTGGAAACTCTTTTTGTCGTAGTGGTAGCGCGTAGGCAGTCGGTCGGATAGGTGGCAACAACAGACGGAACACGTATTTATTTATATTAGATGTTTTTTGTATAAAAATTGCACTGTGCTTAATTTAATTGATACCAACAGTGCACAAGTAACGCAACAACTGCCTCAAAATGTTTGCCAATCTGAAAAACAAATTAATCGAGGAAGTGAAAGCGTCTCCGTCCAAATTTCAGCAGTTTGCAAACGCAGCGCAGGCAAGTTTTCTTTGCAAATTAATGAAAACATACGCACACAAACGAAAAGTGCTATTAGTCATGTGTGTGAGTGAGTGCCTGTCTTAGAGTTTCGGAATGCCTGGGAAAAACAGACTGCAAAAAGTGCAGTAGCGATGTCTTATTGACCCATTTATGCTTTGATCGAAACAACCAGCTGTTTGAAATTGAAATGCGTGCCCAAAAACCAAAACGCGCCCCCCACACCCCACAAATAATAACACAGATGGACACTAACGGTTCTCTTTTCAGGCCGCCGTGAGCTCATCGACCAGCACTACGCCAAACAGTTCGGAAACCAACACCACAGGCACCAATGACAATTTCTTCAGCATTACGGAGGAGGGTGAGAATTTTAATGAATGCTTAGTTGATTCCTCTTATCAGTTGTAATGCAATTAACGGAATTTGGATGTCCATTTGCACAGACACTCCACAGAACTCGCCGTACCGTTTACAGAAGCTGCCAGCAGCTAGCACCTCTGCATTGCGTGGACGTTCCTCCACACAATCACTTAATGGTGTAGGCGGGGGCGCTGTACCGCGGACCCGCAAACTGTCAAACTCATCGATGGCCAGTGACGTGTCCTTTCGCCTGCCCACCTACGACGCGCCTTCCGTAAGCTATTTAATATAATTAAAATCAATACCTAACCATTTCTATTATGTTAGATGTATCACTTGCAATCGGATCTGGACGAAACAAGCAGTGAGTTCGATGACTCTGCTTCCACGGCACGTCTGGATGTGATCACAAAGGACCAACTGTACGATGCATACAAAAAGTCGCTAGATCGCTATCACAAATACCGCTGCCGCTACACGGATCTGGCGAAAAAGTACAAGGAATTAGAACGCGATAGCACCAAAGCACGGGTATGATATGAGTCAACGACGACACTTATCTTTTTATGTTGTTGCTGATAAGTGTTTGTGGTAAATATCTTACAGTCGGTGCTCGTGGAGACTCAAGAGAAAGCATTGCGTCGCATCAGCGAATTGAGGGAACAATGTACGCTGGAACAGCAGGCCAAAGCGCATCTGGAGGAGGCTCTCCGTATTGAAATGGATGATATGAGCTGCAAGATGCAGGCCTATCAGACAAAGCTCAAATTGCTGGGCGAAAATCCCGATAATATAGAAGCTGCCTTGGAGCGTGGACCTGCAGCCGATAGTGAACAGCTCATTGATCTTGCAGAGTCAACGCCAAATGGCACAAGCACCTGTGACAGTCAACCTATGCAAGATGATGACTTGCTCAGGCTGCAGGAGTTACTGAAGGAAAGTGAAAATCAGTTGCAACAGATGACAGAAAAGCACGACACAGCGATAAGCACAATTGCAACACTTCGCAAACAGGAGGAGGAAAATGTGCTGCTGCTGGCGCAAACCAAGCAAGCCATACACACCGAACTAGAGCACAAGGAGCGTGAGGTAAAGCAGCTACAAGATAAGCTAAAGAAACTAGAAGGTGACAACGACACCAAGGAACAGGTAAAGAAGCTTCAAAATGCAAAGCAGGAGGCAGACGCTAAGGTAATAGCCACAGAACATCTGCTAAGTACACTGCGCAGTGACTTTACCAGCAAAGAGCAACAGGTGGCGACTCTAGAAGGGCAGCTACAAACTCTCAAAACAGCCAGCGAACAAACCATTCAGGATTTGAGTCAGCATAATGGCCAACTAAATGAGATGCTGCAGCGGTATCAGCAAAATGAATTAACGCTCGCCGAAGTCGATGGTCAGCTGAAGCAAGCCAAGCAGGAAATCGCGTCACTACAGCAGAAATTGAAGCAGCAGGATCAAAAAATCGTGGATGCCGAGAAGAGCTTGGAAATTGAGCGCGATGTAGTCGCCGCCCTTAATGCCGAAAAAAGCACATTCGACGAATTGCGCTCCAATTACGATCAACAGTTATTGAAGGTAGACCAACTGCAACGTGAGCTACAAATACTGAAAGAGCAACATACAAGCAACGAAAGTGAAACTATTGCTGCTCTAAAGCTAGAACTGGAGCGTACTAATGAAACACTTAACGAACAACTGTCCACCGCCAAGTCCAATCTTGCAAGCAAGGAGAAGGAACTAAAGGCGAACAGCAACAAGTTTAACAAATTGAAAAAACAACAGGAGCAGACACAGACCAAGCTAAACGAACATAATGCGGAAGTGAAGCGACTCAATAGTCAGCTGGCGCAGCAGGAAGAGAGATTGCGTCAGGCTGCCCAAGTAGAAAGTGAAAAAGAGGAGCTGCAAACACGCGTAGCTGCTATTTTAGATGAAATTACCACGATGCAAGCTCATTTGCAGGAGGTGCAACAGTCACATGCAGAGCTGGAGCGTGAAAAAGGCAAACTGGAGTCAAAAATCGAGCAGCTGCAGCAGCAACAGCTGGAAAACAGTGTCCAGAGTGGTGCCAGCAACGAGCGGGCAAAGCGTTTTGAGGCTCAGCTTGAAGAGATCGAACGTGAGAACACGAAGCTATCCGAGCGCAACTGCCTGCTAGAAGAGCAAAACAATCACTTGCAGAAACAACTGGAAGAACGCCAACGCCAGCAAACCACAGAGAATGAGGCACTAGTCAGTGAGCTCCGCCTTCAGCTACAGACGGCACAGGACGATCTTGCTAAGTTGGAGACGAAAATGAAGCAGGTTCTCGATGATCACTCGCGCATGCAAAATGCACAAGAGATCATGGACCATGATCATCGTACCCTCCAGGATAAATGTGATGCCTATGAAAAGGAGAAGCTGCTACTCGAGGATGAACTCAAGTGTGCGCAACTTGCGGCCACAGACCTTCAGCAGACGAATACTGCACTGGAAACCGAGCTAACGGAACTGCGGCAAACGGCACAAGTAAGCGCCAACGAATTGGCTCAATTTGAAAGCGTTCGTGAAGCTCTACAGCAGCAACTAGATGCTCTCAAGGAGGTGCAGTCCAACGATGAACGCCACAAGACATTACTAGAGCAGGCGCAGCAGCGTAACACGCAACTGCAGAACGAACTGATTGCGATTGGTACACAATTGCAAGCCATTGAGCACTACCCTGTTGAATTGGATCGAGTACAGCAGGAATTATGCGAGTTGCGAGAGAAACGACATGAATTGGAGCAACAAGTTCAGGAGCACAAGCAGATGGCAATCGACTTAGAAACACAGCTGCATGAGCTGCAGGATCAGAGCAACAAGCAACAATCGACGCTGGCTGAGAAGGAGGCCAGCATTGAAGCTATGCGAACACAATTAGATAGCAGCAGCTCAACTCAAACGGAGGAAATTAGTGCACTTCAAGCTACCCTTCAAAATCTGCGGCACCAACTGGAGGCGCAGAAGCAAGTGGAGCAAGCCTTAAACGAGAAAATGCAGGCAGTCAATGCGGCGCATGTAACTCAGCTCGAAACGCTCGAAGCGCGCTGTGGTGCCGCCAATAGCGATGTGGAGCGCCTACACGAAGCCAATGATGCTCTGCAGTTGGAATTAGAAACGCTGAAGAACAGATATTCCCTGCAAATAGACGAACTACAGGAAATTCTAAACCAACGCGATATGCAGCTGGCAGGCAATGTGGAGGCTACCAAAAAACTTGCGGCCTACGAACAGCTGCAGATTGAGAACGAGTACCTTACCATGCATACCAAACAACTGGAGCAGGACCTGACAGAGGCCAAGTCACTGACACAAACCTCTCATACTGACAACAGCGAACTTAAGGATAAGCTAAAATCGCTGCAATGCGAGCTTTATGTTCTTCAGGAACAGGTCGAGAAACATGTCAGTGAATTGGCAGAGAAAGACAAGCATAGTATCGCAGCAATGGAAGAGGTGATCAAACTGAAATCCCAGCTAGAGGAGCAGACCCTCGAGTTGAGCAGGCAGAGTGAACACGCCAAGTTCGTGACTGAACAGAGCGATACCGTGCAGAAGGAGTTGCTGCATTCACAACAACAGGTGCAAGAAAAACAAGACGAGATTACACAACTTCAAGAATCCCGGAACGGCCTGGAGGTGCAATTACAGAAGCTCCAAGCTGAGCATACAACCAGCACACAGACTCTTGAGACACTTCATGAACAAATTACCGAACTTAAAACACAGCTCGCGGCCCAACCAGCCACCAATGGCACCGATGCCGTTCATCTGCGTAACATAAATGAGCAATTGCAACGCGAACTGGAAGATCTCAAGTACAAATCAAATGGCGAGCAGGCCAATTTGCAGCAAGAGATCGATGAGTTGCAGGGCAACAACAATCAAATGGCTGAACGGATTATGGAATTGGAAACGTTACGGGCCAGCATACAGGCACAACAGCTGCTTGCGAGCATGGCACCCAAAAGTGTGCAAAATTCCACCAAATCCGAGGCAATTGCGTCGCCCGACGATGAGAAAACTGAGCTGGAAATGAAGCTCAAGGAGATCATGACCGAGGTTCAGGACGTTACCAATCGGAATTTGTTTTTGGAACAAAAATGTGAAAACTATCTCATTCTCGAACAATCGAATGAACGCCTCAAATCGCAAAATGCCAAACTGTCCCGTCAATTGGATGAGACCTTGGTAGGTACTCACAGGAAATTAATCTAGCCTGAAATAATAGCGTGCTTAATTTTAGGTATCCATGCAACACAGCGAGAACGTGCCGGTCAATACGGAGTTCGAGTATTTGCGTAATATTATGTTTCAGGTAAGCAGCAGGAATCCAAAGTATAGTATACACGTATATATTATATATTGTTACATTGTTAACCTTTTAGTATTTAACTGGCAATACAAACAATGAGACTTTGGTCAAGGTCATAGCTGCTGTTCTGAAATTCTCGCCACAGCAGCAACAGGTTGCCCTCGAAAAGGAGCATCAACGACGATCGCTGGTAAGAAGTCGTTTCTTTTGAGTACAAAACATTTTCATTAACACCTTCTCTGATATACAGCTCAACAAAATTCTATAGCAAGAGTTACCGGCGACAACTGTACAGAATTTCAAATACATCAGCAGCAACAATAACTATTGGTGGCAGTCGTGCAGTGCTACGCTTGTAGACTAACAATGAAGAAATCAAAACATGTCTAAGTTCACATAAAGTACCTTACCTCGATTCCGTGTGCACACTGGGCTTCAAATTGTAGTTAAAAAGCAACATTTTTTGTTAAGTGAATAGGACTTACCTATTCATCCTTCTTTGCTATTGTACAGTAACAGAACGCTCTAAATTCTATAGAGATCTATTGATTCGACTCTATTTACGGCATTTTCTTGTGTACATTTTGAAACCTTTGGCTATTTCAAATATTTTACGAACGCATTGTTTGTTAATGTGCAATCAATCACTTTTTCTTCTACGAGTGTATACAAATTCCTAATGCAGAAAATAATTTTAGTTTTAAGTTAAAAATTGTAAAGATCACTTGCAGTTAGCATTTAGTTTAATTGAAATTATATTACAAAATAAAATTATATAAATACATAATTATAACTACAAAACTTTTTTGCACTGCATTTAAAAGTTCAATAAATAGGTTCAATTCAAACTAAGTATTTTTCGGTTGACGGAACGGCCTTTGACTTTGGTACTGTCTTCTGTTTTCGACGAAGGTCCGCAACATAGCGCGGGTCATAGGCGTCAACTCATAATTGGGCCTGTAGTTATGCAATGCTTCAATTACGTTCTTGAATCCAAACCGCTGTAGACGTATTATGGCTTGGACAGCTGCTTGTTGGATGCAGGGACGTGGATTTTTCAGCTGTAGCTTGAAGAACAATAAATAGGCAGATATGTCCGTCTGAGATTCCAGCTGCTTAACAATGAGCGATATGCACTGTATCAGGGTCTCACATCGTTCAACGTACTCTTCCGTATGCGTGCAAAGATCACAGTATGTTAAGGCCAATGGCATCAGCTGCTCCGTCAATACATCCTGGATTACCAACAACTTGAAGCTTCGGCGGCAGAAGAGTGCAAAAGCATAACAGAGATCCTGAACTTTGCCTGCCTTCAGTTTTTCTATTAGGTTCTCCAGTACCTGGTTTTTTGTAGGCTCAAAAGGCTGGAAATGATATTCGTAGCGCAGCTTAGAGAGCAAAGCTCGATCCGCTTTTTTCTCATCTTCCACATTATATTTGTAGCACATGAGCAGATGTTTGATCACCGTAATAAGTGGGTCGCTGTGGTCGTAGCTGCGCTCCTCGCGATGCGGTAGTACAGTGGGATATTGGTTGACCACCTCGAGCACCAGTGACGGCATATCCGTGGTATAGTAATAGAGTATTTTAGCAATTAGTAGGCGTGCTGGATTGACATACGTTGTAGACGAACCCAAATTAGCTTGGAGACTTAGCAACTTTAAATAAAGTTTCAAAAACTTGTGTGCTTCTGCGCTGGAGTTTTTTTCTTTAACCGAGAACATGCGCTGTTCCAATACATGCAGAAAACGGCCAATAAAGTTAGCTTGCTTCGTTTCCAAGTATTTGACAACAGTTAGCAAGCGACATACTGTTACATTCTCATCATGTTTGAGTTGAGCAAATGTTGAAATAATTGCATTAATGATAGTCGTGGTATCGGTCGTGATTTTCTTTAACACATCAGCAAAGTCGCTACAAGAGGATTCAATTTCCAAAGATTCTTTGAAATATGTAGCGATGTTTAGTAGCAGCCGTTTCATCTCCGGCTGCTGTAGCGTGTTCCTTGGCCCGCGTGTCTTCGGCCCACTTTCTGCAGTCTTAATTAAATAGAATAGAAGTGCCTTTGGCTTGTTTCCAACAGGGTCGCGCGGTATCAGAGGTATATTTTTTGGTTGACATACATTTTCAGTGGCACAATCGACAGCTGCAGGTGAAGCAGGGGATTCTAGGTCAGAAAATGTGTGGGAAGCAATACTTGGCATTGATTCCAACAACGTATTATCACAGTCTGCGCTTGAACTAATTTCTAATTTATTTGTCATGGTTTTCTCTTCATGATTATCCTCCTTGCCCGGACTTTCCAACTGCAACTTCTTTGCGCGTAAACGTGTCATGCGCTTATCTGTTGGATAATCACTTTGTGAGGATGATGTACGTTTTCGTTTTCTGTTTGGCGGGTATGGAATTATTTTTGACTCATTTCTCCCGCCACACTCGATGTGATCACCTCTTTCCGTGTCTATTACTAATTCGATAGATTCAAAACTGTCACTATTAAAATTACATTCTGGTGAATTTTTCAAGGAAATATTAGTTCCTTTGTCTTCTAAGGAACCTTTGATTTCAGACTCTCTCAAATCTTCAGAATCACTATCTTCCGAATCCGCATAACGACCATATGCGGCTCTTCCTTTATTTCGATCTATGCTTTCATTGTTTTCGAAATCAAAATCGCCTAATACTGATGTGTCAGAGCAATTCCAATGTCCCGTTTGTTCGCTTGTTAGTTGCAGACTTGTTAAGGGATTGGACGTTGTTTCTGTTTCCACAAGTGAATCACAGCCAAATGATATCTTAGAATTGTGTCCACCTTTTACAGTTTGTGCGTCTAAAGTATCAAATGGACAGCAGTTCAGTTCTCCAGTGTCCGAACTATTTTTACAGAATGGAAGCTCAGGACTATTTCCAATATTAGCCATTTGAACAGTCTGCGTTTTCTCGAGGTCTGTCATCATTTCTTCATCACCACTATCCTGCGAATCCGAATCGTTTCCAAACAAAGTTAGTTTCATCTTCCTTTTTTTATGTGTTAGTTTTTGTTCTTCTGAGAATTGTAAAATATTTTGCGTGCATTGTTCTTTGGTATCACTGTTGTTGACTAAAGTTTGTTCTGCGATTTTAGACGTTAGATCAAGCAAATAACGTTCCTCCGGCTTCAGATCTGCTTCGAGGTTATCACAACTAGGCTGATGGAAGGCATTCAAACTGCTAACAAAGTTGATTGCTGTTTCTGAACTGGAATTCGAATCAGGTTTGGTTTTGCGTTTCCTAATTTTAGATTTTGGCTTAGGTGGCAAGTAGATCGGTGTCAGATCCACACCAATACTGATTGATTCGTCGACTATGGGATCGGTTCCAACGTCCTTCCGGGATTCTGCATTAGCTTCATAGCCTGCAAAACACATGTTATTAGGATTATGGAATTTTAAAATATTTTGGGAGCAATCACCTTTATTATTCTTTGGAGTAAAACTGCCTGTAGCCTCATTGAAGATTACTCCATGATTCAACCAGTTTAAAAAGTCCGCCTGGCTCATTGGTTGCGATGTCACAGGTGTCGGATCGGAGCGTTTCTGCAGGATCCTAAACAACAATTGGCCAAAAAAACATAGGCACATCTCCTCAAAAGCGCTAGGTGGAGAAGTTGGCAGTTGGTTCTGAGGTAATGAATTAAGGAACTCGCGTGCTATATTAATGTAGTCAAAGCTGCCGCTGGGCATAGCTATCTCATCTTTAACACCACGCGAGGGCGGCCGCGAGTTGGAGTGTTTTATTTGAGATGGTATGGCAGACAAGAAGTCTATCTCGCGGTGGACATTACACAAAGTGGTGCAAGTGCCAACGTTGATTTTAGAGACTAACGGCGGTTCTAGTTCTTTTGGGAAAATATCGTTAATGGGACTTATAGGCGTCACATCCCAACTCAAAATTTCTTTGAGAATCTCTTCAGCGGTTGGTGGAGGAGTGAGTTCAGGGAAACAAGTGCCCACATTGTGTTTTGTAAAGAACGTGGCTGTAGTGGTACCGCGCGTTGCAGTTGTATTTCTGTGTTGTGTTGCCTGATCCTTCATCACAACCGAACCACCACATTGAACGGCAAATTCGCAAGTCATAGGCTTGGGCTGTGGGGTCGGACTCATATTGAATTTGTCTTCTAATTTTAGCGTTGTAGGTTTTTGTGTGTCTGTGGTCGTAGGATTCTGTAAATGTTCACCCTGCTTAATAGACGTAGAAGTTTTGACGGCTTTACGCCTGTTATCCGGACTTTGCGTCGTTGGTATTTCAATGTTCTCCTTTTTACAATAGTCCTTTAGCTTTCGCAACATAATGGTCTCGCGGCGTAACAGCCCCCCTCCACCCAGTTCTTTGTCCATCATTCTGTGGGCGAGCTGAATGTATGTTATGGCTACATCTTTCGCAGTGGCAGGCAGCTCCATCTCCTTGAGTTTATCTTTCAGATATTCTTTTTGCGACTTATGCGCATCCAAATCCTCGTCGAGAAGGTTACAACGCTCGGTTAATTGCTTTTGACGACACTCCAGCTCCTGGCGTTGCTGTTTCTCCTGCTGATATAGATCGCTGACCTTTTCAGCGGTTCTTTGAAAATCCGACAGTTTTTTGTTGGTTTCCTTCAGCTGTTTCACCTGGCGGACCAATTCATCAGTGTTCACAATGCGCTCCGCAAGCCTTTTTCGCTTTGTTTGAACTTTATCATTGCGAGATGAAAATGCCGGGAACTGATGTTCTGAAGACATTACGTCTGTAGTTGCAGAGGATTCATTTGGCGGCGGCGATTTAAGTAACATGTCCAAATAATCCATGTTTATTATTGTTATGTACTATTCGCGGGGCACTTGTTGTTGGTGTTCACGTGGGTTTGCTCAACAACGGCAGCGTTTTGAATGTTTACTACACACGGATTAAAGAATAAAGTAGCAAACACGCCAACGTGTATGGGCATTTACCACATACTTCGGAATATATTTGAACTATTAAAAGCACGTTTTATTTAGTTCAAATCCCTCGATTTTACGTACAAAAACAGACATAGCAGCCAGCAGAACGCCGGTTTTCTCGCACTCTACCCTAAAATGGCAGCACTGCACAGGGCTGCAAAAAAAATCACACATGTGTTGGTGAATGTTCATGTTCATTGTGAATGGCCGTGTACTAACTGAAACATACAAAAAGATATTTTTCATTTTTCCAACTCATTTATTCACCAATGCATGTTAAACTGCTCAAAAATAAAGAGGTAATTTTTTAAAACTAAACCAATGGCAGCGTCGCTTCCTTTTCAACTTAGTGGTGATGCTCTGCAGCCTCCTTGGCTTTGGATTCGGCCCAGGCCTTTTTGTTTCCGGGCGAGTTTGCTGTTGAAACAAAATATAAGTAAAACGATAAAGAGTAGAGTACTAGAACTTACCCAATTTGCTGATCTTGTAGAAAACAGGCACGCATGCGACAGCCGCAATAAAGTAATAGCGCCAGATCCACTGATTCTTAATGTAATGTTTGATCGGGAACTGGGCAATTTTGGCCGAGAATGTGTATGGATACCTCATGGGGCGTCCAGCGGGTTTCTCAACAGCAGCTTTGTCGGCCATGATGTTCTAGTTGATTTGCGTACTAATTACTGATGCAGAAAATGAAAAATAATAAATATTAGATGAAATTATGTAATTTGCTTGCGAAAACCGCTCGTACCTTGCCAGAAGACTAGTTCACAATGGATAGATGAACGTGAAGTTGGCTGCGAGTGTTATGCGCCAGAGCTGCCGAACATTTATTTTTATTCGACTCCTAAAGGGTTTATATGTGGGACTATTTTTTTGTTGCTGAAAAATAATATGAGTACTTGATTGCTACAAAATCGGTGTAGAGATTAAAATATTTTCCCAAAAAAAAAAATCGATAATGTTTTTTTTAAATGGGTGGCAAGCCCAATTGTAACAGCTGTTAAGAATTGTCATCGTGAGCAAAATCAACGCAAGCTTTTGGCTTACATGTGATAAATTTGCAAAGTAAACTATATCAAAAAGGCAATATTTATTGTAAGTATAAATGTGGTAAATTTTCAAATGCATGGTGGTGGGTATTCCTTGTGGATATTAACGTAAATCGCAATGTCTGTTTTCAGAATTTCATTTCTGCACCTCATTTTCCCATTCCTTGTTAAACCTCAATTTATTTCGTTCGTGTTTTCAAGCTGTCGAAATGGTTATAACGAGCGAACAGGTGCCACAGGTAACATCCAACCCCACTGATCATTCCTACATATAACTACATAAATAAGTAATAGTTGTTTGTAGTCATGTCGTTAGTTTGGTAGGACGTTTAATGAAAACATGCGTTCTTTATGCATGCATACTTATGTATGTGCCACTAATCACTTAAATTCATATTCAATTTCTGCAGAGTGCTTCTGAATCAACATCAACAGACCCGGGTGCTCCCAAACGCAGGAAACCCCGCCAACGGAATCGGCCTAGAAACAAACGCAATCGTGTTGAAGATAAAGAAATTGAAACTGTTCAGCATTCGCTTCAAATGGAGACTTCTATTCCAACAGTGAAGAAACTCAGCGGGCAAAGCACACATGAGAGTGCCCTAATTGCAGCCACGGACAAGACCCGTGAACAAATTATGGCTGAGCGCGAGGCCAAGAAGCAGGCAAAGCACAACAAAAAGAACCAAAGCAAAACAGTGCCAACGCCGCCCACAACAAAGATTATAACTGAAGTGGAACAAACTACAATAACGACCAGACTTACAACTACAACGACCACTACAAATGATAGGCAAGAACAATTAGCAACAACAGTGGCAGCTGCAGTTCCTACGAAAACAACAAGTGTAACTTCAACAACAACTTTGGAATTGGGCGAAAACACGCGAGAAAAGATTAAAGCTGAGCGCGAAGCAAAGAAGGCCGCTAAACAAGCTGTAAAATCGGCAAAAGTTAGCGGTGGCAATGTCGATGCAGCAGCTCAGAAATTGGCTAATTTGCAGATTCAGACCGCTGGTGCAACTGAAGCGGCGGAATCGGAAAAGGTTCGAATATTTGCTATATAACCTCCTTCCAATATTGTACTTTTTATTGCAGAAAAAGCCCGCACTCAGCAAAGCTGAGCGGCGTGCCATTCAGGAAGCACAGCGTGCCGCAAAAGCACAAGGAAAAGCTAAGAAAGACACAACTAAGACACTAACAGCAGGTGCACCAGGCTCCCAGGCGATTTCTCCACCTACTAGCACTATTGGCTCTAAGGAAATCAAGCGCGACAATGATTCACCATCGAAAATAGAAGGTTCACCCGTCAAATCTGTGCCTTCGAAGACCGAACGCGATCATAATGTAAAGCTGTTCAATCATTTGTTATGCACATCCAAGGATGCTAGCCAGTTTATTAATGATCCACTTGTGCATCCAAGCATGGCACGTCTAGGCGAGCAATACGCTAAACGCATTGTTGTCGGTTCTAATGCGCGATGCATTGCTTTTCTTAATGCCCTGCGGCAAGTGGTGCAGGATTTCGAGACTCCAGCCAAAAAGGAATTTGGTCGTAGCTTAGATGTAACAGTCAAACATCATGTGGATCATCTGCATAAATGTCGTCCGCTAGCTGTTTCAGTATCTAATGCTTATAAACAGTTTAAAAATCAGTTGACACAACTTCCCGTGGATAAACCTGAAACCGAGGTGAGTAGAATATTTGTCAAGCATTTCTAATCTACTTTTTATGTGATCTACTTTATGTAGCTAAAGGATCTGCTCAGTCATTTTATTGACACATACATAGAGAATCAAATTGGCAAGGCTGCGCAGGCCATTAGTGGTTTCCTGCAAGAGAAAATCACAAATGGCGATGTGCTTCTCACTTTCGGTTGCTCCTCCCTTATACATTACATCTGTGAAGAGGCAAAACGACGCCAGGTCGCCTTTCGCGTTATTGTCGTTGACTCGCGTCCCTTCTGCGAGGGTCAAGAGATGTTGAGACGCCTAAGTGCCGATGGTATACCCTGCACCTATGTCCTAATTAATGCTATCAGCTACGTCATGCCTGAGGCTACGAAGGTGTTGCTAGGAGCTCATGCACTTCTTGCCAATGGCTATGTCATGGCGCGTACAGGCACCGCACAAGTGGCTCTTGTCGCAAATGCTCACAATGTTCCCGTCCTGGTTTGTTGCGAGACCCACAAGTTTAGCGAACGTTTCCAAACAGATGCCATTGTCTACAACGAGCTAGGCGATCCCAATGAGTTAGTACGCAGTGACAAATGTTGCTTACTCAACTGGCAAACCAAGAGCAGAATGACGCCATTAAATTTGAACTATGACATAACGCCTCCGGAATTGGTCAGCGCCGTGGTCACTGAGGTAGCAATTCTGCCATGCACCAGCGTTCCTGTCATTTTGCGCATAAAACCGGAAATTGGATATTAATATAAGTAATGGCTGTCACTTCGAAAATTAATAAATTTTTTCAGTTTGTAAGAATTGACTAATTATTTGTGCAATATTAAATTCAAAATTTAAGATGATAACATAAATATAGCCTCGGCAAGGCTCTCGTCGGCGGTGGAGAGTGTTTATTTTCAGATCAGTTTATTCTGTTCAATTTACTGTGCCTCGGTAGCCCCGTATATACCAAAAGAGGCGTATAGTGAAGTAGTAAATCGTTTCCAAAGGACTTAGCAAACTGCAACCCATTAGTAGGGCTAGGAAGCCACCCAAAGACACATAATAGTCGGTGATTGTGTAGTAAATGCGATGGCGCAATTGCATCTTTGGTGGAAACGGGAGCACTACTTCCACATGTGTCCACTTCAGTGTGGTCTTATTAAAATGGTCCAGCACATCAGTAGTCATGAAAGTGTCGATTCTCGCCCCTGCACATTCTGGCAAGCATTGACAGGCCTTCAACGTTGCACCGTACTGCCAGTTTCTCTGAACAGCTAAACAGTTTAGTCCAACGATGTCACACACCTCATAGCTTGGGAATATATCGCGCATCGCTCGATTTGCATAGAAATGGGGCAGACAGCGGCATTTTTTCATAGCAAAACTTGCACGGCAGTTCGTCAAACACAAATGTCTGGAATATCTGTTTGGATACATAACCAGATTCGATTCGTTGCTCATGCGACATTTGCGATTTTTAATGGGAGTCCTATAGTTATTAAGTATTTGAGTAATTTTGCTTTGGATGTGGGGTGCTACTTACACATGCCACTTTCCATTTCCATTTTTCTCTTTACATTTTACAAAACGATTTTCTGACTCTGGTATTACGAATCAGACATTTACGTTTTCATTTTTTCAATTCAATTTGGCTATATGTTCATTTTACTGAGACAATTGAATTTGAATTGTGTGATTTGGTTAATATTAATTCAAGAAATTCAATTGTGAAAATATGATAAGCCAATCAAATTAATTTTAAAATATGAATCTTGAATTCCAGATGGCTTGGGCTCATGTCTTCAAGAAATTAAGCTGTAAGTTTTAAGCATTAATTCATACCATAAATATTGCAAGCTGAAACTCTTGTGTTCGAAGAATGATGGAAATGGAAAAATGGCATAATAAGATCACTTACGAGAGCAAGTCCTTTGTGTAAGTTAATTCAAGCATTTCGATGCCAATGTTAATATGTCTTCCCGGCGCTAACAATATATATGGATTGCTCCATGAGGGAGGCAAAGTATATGGCGAATGTATGAAAAGCTTCGTGTTCTTTATAAAATTGTGTTTGAATCCAAACCGAATCGGAAATGTTGAATATAAGTCAAAAGTTGATGGTGTTTGGTTGCTTTCCGGCCTCGGCGTCCCCAGATTGCTGTACAAGCTGGCAATAATTTTTTTAGGGCTTACTATATACTAAAAACAATGGCATTAATTTATATGAGTGCTTACGACAGATCCATCACATCCGAAATCAGGCAATTAAAAGTGTAACAAATGCCTCCGTCGTTCATTACAGCAGCCCCCCGCTCATTATGATCGTTAAAAACAATCGAAGTTTTTGTCAGACTGCAAGATGGAGTGCAACTGACAAACCAATATAACCTGATAGATAAACTGGCTCACTTGACTATATGCTGCATAAAATCCTTTGGCTGAAATTTATGTCGTCCTAATGGTAGCATCTGTGGTGATCCCATTTTAATGCTTATAAGTTCCTCAAAAAAGTAGCGTATGTCTTTGTGCTGGTTCTTCGGATACTGCCTGAAATTATGCTTAATTTTAGGGTGCGAAGACTGTGGTCACCCCTACAGATACGAACTCAATAAGTTTCGACACTTCATCTTCATCGAGAACGGGCTCACTACAAAATGTAAATGCCGGCATAGTGGAAGCAAAGTGCACATAATCCATGTCTGTTTCAATGCCAGTATTCTTTTTCTCATACAGCGCGATCAGCTTGCCACGTATTCTGTGGAAATAAATATTTACACCCAGGAATAGCAGCATCCAGAAGAGCCTAAGTTGCATTATATTAGTGATAAATGTGTTAGTCGCCAGGTACTTGAACTCACAGCTGCCACCAGTGCTGCCCCCGATAGATGAAGTGCCTTAGCCCATGAATATTGGTGTGTTCCAAAAAATCAATTGTGAAGCGCAGAAAGCGCTGCACTTGGCGATGTCGGCGCACAGTACGCAGCATGATAATTACTAAGCCCTGAATGCCTTAAATTTTCGACATTTATAGGTTTCTGTTCACGTAACTTGTTGAATAAATAATTTTTATTACATTTTGATCAAATCGATTAACATATTTTTGCTTGTAATTCTCATAAATGTTTTTGCTGTTCACTCTAATGGAATTGCTTGAAATATTTTATACATACATTGTTATCGAACATTTATTATAGGGTAACTTTTAATTGTACTCCTTTGTGTTTAAAGTGGAGGAATTTGGAGAAAACAACACGGCTAAAATAAATTGTGACTAACAGAAAATGTAGGTTTGTGCTCAACTTATAATAATTGTAATCAGTTAGGCGCTGCAATCTGCAATGTATTGGGGCACGAAGTCTGAATTTTGGAAGAATGGATAATCTTCACATTACATTAAAATGTGCAGCTACAACTACAAATGCAACTGTGGATATACATATGTAGGTAATTTATGTTGTTTACTTGCGATGTACATATAAGTACTATAAATATAACGTTCGCAAAATTGTTGCATACTCCACAACTCAAGCACAGACACACACGCGAGCGCCAATATTCTCTCAAAACGTTACAACTACAAGTGCTTTTCTAACTTTATGCTAAGACCTCACGATTTATAATTTACCTATGGGTTTATGGGCTGTTCTTCTGCATTGTGCGAAAACAGCTTCGACAGACGGGAACCGCCTTGCCACTATCCTGGCCAGGCAACGCCATACTCTTGTCTATACAGCGTTCGCAAAAGATTTCTCCGCATCTCCAGCAGTGAGTCTGCAACAGAAAGCAAGATATTTGCAATATTAGAGCGATTATGTGTGATAAAATGTACTCTCACACCTTTTTGCTGAACTGATCGAAGGGCGTAGAGCAGGAGCAGGCTGTGACATTTCGCATAGGCTTCCAATCTACAGCAACGGCTGTGATCTCGTCAGTCAAGCCATTTGGACTCGCAGTTTGCTCGGAATTCAATGAAAGATTAGCAAAGGACATGTTGTTCGCCTTAAGTGGATGGTCATCATCAGCGGCGCTTAGTTCGCTTAATTTCTTATCATAGTTGTATCTGAAACGCAATGGATAGTTCTATAGTTTTCATGAAAAAGTATAAATGGCTTAGCTTACTTGTTGTCAATGATTTCATTTGAGACTGTTTCCTTGCTCGGTTTTGTGGTCGTCGCATCCTGTAGTTTCTTTGCCGATTTTGAGATGTAATTTTTGAAACTAGCAATGCGTTTTGTTAGGTGCTGCACATGATCCTCTAGCGAATTGCAATGCTCCTTGCTGTCCAAGAGCACATCGCCAAGTGGCTCACGTGGATGTATGCCGCTCTCAAACCTACTATACATACCTCTCCAGAATCTGCAAGGTCGGTAAATAAACACATAATTTTCCACACATAGAAGGCCTTTCGTGGAGGACTCACTTTATGCACTGCGGTGCCAAATTCGCCTTGATGAGCTCATCCATTACCGGCTTATAAAGCGGGTTAATATACTCATTTAAATGATTGGACATAAAGCCCCACAACGAGTACGTGCGCTCGGCCAATTTTAGGTCCAAACGATCCTTCTCACAGTTGCCCACAAACGTGCCAAACTGACACGAATGCACATGATCGTGCAGTATGAGTAAAAAGCGCTCGTTAAACTCGAAAGCGTCGCTTCGCTGCGACATCAGCTGCCAGGTACAGTCGAGGAATTGTGTGAAAATTGGCGACACTTCCCGCGCTTCTGTTTGTATGTGGCCACAGCGTTCACTAAACTTGTGTCCGAAGGCCAGCCAGTCCTTCTCAATCAGAGCCTGAAAACCCTTAATTGTGCGATAATACGGATCCAGCATGAGCGACGCCAGTGAACAAACTTGTGCGGTACGATCCCATCCATCGGAGCAGTGCACGACCACAGAGACGCCTTTGTCGACGGCATTAGCAATGAAGCTGAAATCAAAGTTATTTAATTTGAATCAATAGAGAATTCAATGAATTATAATAAATCTGCTATGGTGGTGGTTACACAAAGTTTTTAATTAAAATGTCATTGATGACAAGTCCCAGTTCATGACTTTACTTGAAAAAGTCTGTTCAAAGTTTTTTTTTTTATTTTTAATAACCCACATAGCTGCCTTAGGGCCCAATGCGAACGGGCTTATAGAAATGTATAAGCTAAGCATACTGTTGATTCCCAACTCAAGGGCCGCGGCCAAAGGGAGAATCGTCAACTTGTTTCGTATGCAAAGCCACCCACATCCATGCAGACCTAACACCCACGTAAATACTACACCATCAAATCTGTTTGGCTTTGGGCGATTTGCAGAGCATACAGAGACAATTTCTGTCACATCACCACCCACCTTGACGTGCCCAAAACGGAACGTATGTGCTTTAGCCAACCCGACGATTCCAGAGCATTCAGAAACCCGCTCATGGTTGGGGTCTTCTGTTCGCATGCCTCCAACACCTTCTGCAAACTGGCACGCTGCACATGGATGTTCTCGATGCCCAGAAAATGAAACTTGATGTTCTCATAGAATGCCTCATTCTCATAGCCTTTGCCAGCTGCCCGGTTTGCAATAGCATTGATCTGCAAACAGTAGTTGTTTTTTAGTTGTTTATTTGTCTATCAAGGCAATTTTTCAGGCTTGCAACTCACCCGTGGTCGTGTGTCAACAACGTACATGTAGTCGGTGTTTGGATTCGTCTTGCGTATGGCCTCCAGCATTTGTTCGTCCTCCAGACAACGCGCACTGAATCCCGACAAGGGTTGACTGCATCGACATATGGATGCCTGTGCATTAATATTAATAGTACATCGAATATAGTGTTATATATATAGCTGAGTACAAAAACCGCCCACCCTTTACCTTATTGGCATGCAAATAGGTCAGCGCCGGGAGGCGACCCTTAGACCGAAAACGCGAACTGCTTATCAACATCAGCTTCGTGGCCTCCTGTGGCACGTAGATTTGTCGAGGATACGTGTCACAAAGATCGTATTTCTCATTCATGGTGCACAAGGTCCAGATATCATTTGGCACGCGTAGACGCTTGAATTCGGCATCCAGCTTGAAGTAATCCCAGCCAGCGTTCTGCGGAAAATCGTCCTTGGCCGGCTGATAGTTGAAGCAATATAACTTATTGATGGAAACTGCAGATTTAAGTTTATGATACATTGAACCATATTTTATGCATTCAGGCATTCATTTACCTGGCTGAAAAAGCTTGATGAGCGAGGTGTAAACATCGTGACATTCGGAGTCCTTTGGTATGACAAATGTGACTGACAGAAAGGTCTTGCAACGTATGAGTAGCGGCGATCCGGTTGTACTTAACGGCAGCTTCTCAATGTTCGCAATATGCATGTGCAAAATCTGCAATAAAATAATGTTTTTCTTATTACAAGCCCACATTTGGTTTGGGATCCAACTCCCTTAACAACACATCAATATTGTTTCTTTAGTTTGTAAGCCAGGTCCGTTGCCTTTATTTTTCCACAGGCAACAAAATGATGAGTGCCTAGCTACGTGCTTTGACTTCTGTGTCCATAACTTCCTCAACTAAATAATTAATAAGCGTATGAGCGCAGAGCAGTAAATTTCGAAACTAGTAGTATTGAAACACATCATTAAAAAAGACTTTCTTAATGTCAGGAAAATCGATAAATTGTGCCCCGACAGTTTGCCATTTAATTGGCACTTGTTGGCTTGCGGCTCGAGAGCTCCTAACTTTTAATTGAAAGGGCTCATTGTCGCCAGCGCTCATGTGTGTGCGATGTGATGTGGTTAGCTCGGCAATTTACGGCTCTTCCACAACACCCTCATTAACCATTGCCCCACCCTTGATGCACTTGTGGCAGCAGGGTAAAGTGCATAATTGATGTAATAGTTTGCACGAAAATGCAGAAAAATAATTCTTTTTTTTTTATATTCTTTAACGCCTAAGACACCATACAACGTTTAATTTATATAATTATTCTACATATAGATGCAGAGTATTTTAATAAGAGTATGCAACATATATGTTACATTTCACAAATGTGAAGGCTCAAACTCTCTTAGCAGTCCGACAGAAAGATAATTTATTATGTTATTTATTTTATTATATTCTGTAGATGAAATGTACAAGAGTATATTAGGTTTCCGGGACCTGAAAAATGTAACAGGCAGAAACAGGCGTGGCAGACCCCACAAAGTATATATATTCTTGATCAGCGTGACAAGAAGAGTCGATCTAGCCCTGTCTGTCTGTCCGTCCGTATGAACATCTGGACCTCAGAGACTATAAGAGATAGAGTCACCAAATTTTGCACAAAGATGCCTTATGTGTGTACGCTATACGAGTTTGTTTTATTTTTTTGATTTCCCCCCCACTTCCCCCCTATGGGAGTTTTCCCGATTTTCCATTCGTATAATCGCCTATATCTCGGAGACTATAAGACCTAGGAACACCAAATTTTAGTCCAAGATGCCTTATGTGAATACGCAGAAAATGTGTATTTTGGAATTTCTCTCCCCCGCAAATCGTAACTCCCGTAATTCTTGGAATTTCGAACTCAAATTTTGCAAATACCCCCAGTTAGTTATTATGTGTCCGAATGCCAAGTTTCACTATGATAGACCGATTTAACAAGAAGGTATAGCCATAAATATATTTGTTGCCCACGCGCTGCCCGCAGCTGTTGTTGATGCTGGTGCTTTGGTTGACTGCAAACATGTTTACACAGACACGAATAGATGCGCATAGCCGTTCATACACTCATATAGATGCAATTGTTTTGTATATGTGCAATTATACACCCTTTACATGAGTTCGAATACCTAGAGAGGTAAAATAGATTTTTAATTTTCTTAATTATTTTTATTTTCTATAATTATTGTAAACATATGTACAGAGTATTTTAAAGTCGGGACACCCGACTTTAGCCGTTTTACTTTTTTTCATTTGAATTCACGGTGTAATAACAATTAATTCATGGCTCGAAGGAACTTGGCATTACAATAAAAGTTAAGCTTCTTTGTAATTAAAGCGTAAGCCCCAAAAAGCCAACAAAAAGTGCAATTAGTAAATGCTTTAGTTTGCCATTGTGTGCGTTGTGTAAGCCACTAATGAGCAATGTGGTTATGTGTGGCTTATAGAGTAGGCGTTGGTGGCAGACGAATAGGACTGACGCGCCAGCAAACAGAGATTTAAGTTTGCCTAATATCATTGCGATTACATATGTATGTATACACTGATTATTTATTTTACTGGCAAGCAGGCGCTTGGCCACAAGCATTTTTTCTAACCCATGTGTAGCTTGAAGCGCTTTTTCGTCTCACTTTTTTCATGTTTAACAATAGTCTTTTGTGCTCTGGTTTGGCCTTTATTTGAAACTTTTATTGCAAACGCGCCTGCAACAACAGCAACAAAAAATTTCCCCCACATCTTAACACAAAACATATACTACATGCCTACAACGTCAAATGTTTATGTGCTGTTGGCTTATCTAAATGAAAATGCATGTTTTCCTCTTCGTATTTTAAAATGCAAAGAACGCCCACGCAGTTCAGCGCAGCGGCACGCGTTGCCAATTTAATTTGCGTTCATGCCAAGCGTGCCACTATGCGTATGCGTAATATCAATGGGCAGTACATTAACTTTGGTATTTGTTGTTGTGGCATGCCAAAACAAATTTTAATTAAATTAAAGCCCTGCGTTTTTCGAGTTTCAACTTTTAAAAAAAGTAGGGAAATTCATAAGTAATGTCAGCTTTGGGAGCGCCTACTTATCCAAAATTTAACACCCGGCTTGGGGCACAGCGGAAAAACAGGCAACGCAGCTGTCACAGAAAACTCTTGATGTTGCACACTCAACAAACATGCTATACACTTAGAGAATTTAAATGTTATTAGTTTTGCAAAAGTCTTAAATATATATTTTTATTAAGGTGTTGGTGCTTAACAGCATTAAACAACGATAAACAACCCGTATTAATTTCTGCCACTTGGAAAAATCGAACATTAAAACCCTTCTGGACTGCCGGCACATGAATTGACGGTAAAATTCGGAATTGCAATTCTTGCGAAGCAGGAGCAGGACGCTAGTGTACTATAATATGTGTTACAACTTTGATGCAGAAAAGATTTTTATCTTCTTTTCCTTTAACTAAAAAATGCACTACATTTTTTCTCAAAATGTACACAAACAAATGGAAGTGTGAGCTTTAAACTCGAGTAAGACAACAAATTGCGAACAACGCATCGTGGTGGCTGCATAAAAGATATTTTATGTCTGTCAGGCGGGGCCAGAGACGTTGAAGTGCGACCGCCGCTCAAATATTTAACGAGCGAGGTCAGCAATAAGCGCAAACTGTGCGTTTGCCACGTTCTGTTCAAGCATTGTGGGGGCAAGTGACTGCAAACCCGTAAGCAGCAATGTAGGAGTAAAAGAGCCCTGTCAGTCAGTCAGTCAGTCGTTAAGTTTGTCTTTCAGTCAGTTAGGCAGACAGCCAACTAAGGCGTCCATTAGTCGGGCAGTTGCAAAATTTGAAAGCAATTTTAGCGCTTCTTTTTATTTGCGTCGTACACTGCTTTATTTCGTCGACTCTTCTTTGTAGCATACTTTTGTGGTTCAACGACGCGACAACGAGGGCGCATTAAAATGACGCCGCTTCTTTTCGTTCACTTGCAATTGACTTTTTCACAGACTGACTGGCCTAGAGAGTTACAGGGCCCACTTTGTGCGACGTGCCAAGGATTGCAAAATAAATAGCTCTAGGTACATAAAGGTACTGAAGTCGTTTTAATACCAGGCACTTTCCTTGCATAAATATACAAGAAAGAAGGAATAAAGCGTAAATGTGTGTAGTGCAAGGACATTTTCAGTCTCGGAAATAAAAACTAACATTTCAGGAAGTTCCCATGTCGAATTTAAAGGATTTACCTTTTCATATTCGTATACTTGTCTGATAGTATTTAAATGAGCTAAAGCGATTGTAAATTGATAAATACTCCCAATTATAAAATTTATATCTGTATATAACTTATAGTCATTCCATACATTTGCTTTTATCGAGCGTTTGCTGTAGTAGTATTCATGGAAAAGTTTAGGCTCCTACTGCCGACAACAGTTGCCGAAAAGTTGTTGGTTTTCCCCCCGACTAGCACGAACACTGTCGCGTCCTTCAGAACAGCTCAAGCACTAAAATATTGACTATTATGGCAGCCCAATTACAAAAGTTGTACAAGAACTTTTCAAATACAAACAAGAATGTAGGAGCCATAAAATAATTGATGATGTCATGCAGATCCAACCATTGTTGTTGACAATTGGCGCTTCGCGCTTTCCATTTACTTAGAGGGACAGAGATTAAAATGCTTACCCATGTCTCCTTGTTGCTGTCGGGCTCCACAAATATTAAATGTGTGGCTGTCAAATATAAAGTGCCAACTGTTGGATTCTTGGTGTTGTACCGATCAATCATGCGCACATTTTCCACCTGTGATGGGTAAAGAGCAGAGAGAAAATGTAAATGTAGGAAAATTTATAATACGGCATTACTTTATCCCTTATTAAATGCGTTCAAAGTTATTGTGCAACATTGTGTGCTGCAAACATTGTAAAGAATTATCTGCGACGTCAGCAAAATATGGGAAAGAGTTATGTATGTATGTACTATGTAGGCTGGCATACATTATCTTTATGTAGCTTTTATTTTTGCTGGCATTTCATTTTAAAAAGGCAAAGCGTCGACCGGACAGCTGCGCATTTCAAATTTTCGGCTTTACAAAATTATTTGCGGTTGACAGCCAGTATTTTACTTTTTCAATGGTACTTTGTTATCGATGGTCGGCTGCCCTCAGTTTTGTTTGTTTCGAAACATGAGCTTTTTGTCGCTTTAGGTCCCATAATTGATTACAAAATATTGGCTGCCTATATTTGTACACGATAATCATGAGTTCTTGAGTGCCGATTTAATTTAGAACTTCATTGCTTTAAAATATTTTCAAATTAAATATTCAATTCAATCAATCAATCTTAGGCTACGATTATAAGTACGTCTTGAATTAGACTTAAATAAGTTATTGTAAAAAAGTGTCGTCAAGTGTCTAAAATGTGACATTGGATTGTTGTCTACCACTTACTGTTTTCCCGTCTGCCTGACATGCTATAAGCATTGTTTATACTTGCTTCCACACTTTTTGGAAAAATGTGTGTTTGCAAAATTTATTTGGCATTCATTTGGTGCATTATGAAATTAACTTACAAGAAAGTTTCCTTAACATTCCTATTACAGCTTCGAAGTTAAAATTAAGACATTTCACCAAATTAGTGATTGGAAGCAAATGTCTTATTCAGAACTCTGAATCGAGTGGCTAAATGCAATGATTAAGTCAGTAATTTGTTTATTTGCTCTTCCTTTGAGATAAGAAACTATTCAAAAATAAAAACTGAAAGAAAAACAAAATTAAAAGGAACCTAAGCTTGTTACTAGGCTTGTGTATTTCCTTATTACATTTTTTAGTAACTCAAAATATCAAACGACCACGACCCTCTACCCTTTTATGGGGCTAAGACACAGGCTGAAACAATAAGAAACAAATTGAATTCTTGTGCAGCTGCACAGTATTTTCCAGCTGTCAGACAGCCTGTTGAAGGCGATGCGTGACAAGGCAATTTCACTGAAGGCCTTTCCGCTGTGCACCAACAATAATCACAACAATGTGAACGTAAATTTAATTGCCGCACTTCTCAGGCATTGAACGACTGGGTGGAAGACTGAGGTGACAGCGAGAATGCAACAATTTGTCTTTCTGCATTTCCGCTGTCAGAGGAACCGGACAGGCAATTGGGAAAATGAGTAAGTTGGTTGGTTGCTGGGTGAGTACATATATGACGCAAATAACCTCGCAGCGTTTCGAGTAAAACCAGGATGGCTGCAACTTGCTGAGAATTGCGTGCGTATTGTCATAGCCACGTTTGACCTAAATAAATATATGGTGCCCTATTCCCTAGGTGCCCAACAGAGTGTGCTCAATCGGGTTTGCCTTGATTGGGGAGCGACGACGTCTAGCATATTATATTCAAAGCATAATTTGCATAATTCATCGCAACGCCACCGGCTATGTTACAAAGAAAAACAAAGCAAAGGAAGCTTGATGGCAAAATTAGTTGGATTTTTTATGCTGCTTGTACTGTTCTCGGCATATTAGCATAATGGTACAAAAGAAAAAGGAAATTAAGTTTGCCCCGACTTGGACTTTTACCTTCTTGAGCACACAATTGCCATTGTAGTAAATGGGTGCTTCATTAAACTCCTCCTCGATCCAAGAGACCACCTTCTCTGACACAAATGGAGGAACGGGCACGCCCCATAGGCGTTTGTTACCCTCGGGTGGCTCCTCCGTTTCCGGCGATATATTGTCGAAGCTAAGGCGCAGTGCCGATGTAGGCGACAACTGACGTTCTATTTCATTGAATTTATTCATGAATCTTGTGAAATCCATCTCTGCTCTCTGCTTATTAGCTTTCTTTTATTTTCGTGCACAACAAAGCGATTATTGATTTTAAATTAACAACAAAAATAACGAGACTTGCAGCACTTCTTAGCCCATGAATTAAATCACGTGAATGTTGGCGGTGGGTATATAATACTTTCACTTTTCGTTTAACACACGAATGCCACTTTGTTATTGGTCGAGAGCGAGAGTGGGTTTATGTTTGTGTGTGTTGATTTTGATGTGTAACGAACAAGTGCGAAGTAAAATATACAACTTCTAAATGGGCGCGTGTAGCGGTCCCGTTAGGTTCCGACGAACGCTCCGAGTGAACTCAGCGATGACTGCCGCTTGCGTGCGCTTAAAAGCATGCTTTGAAAAACTGCTCTCAGGGACATTTTCATAGTACGGGAATTTTTCTCCGCACAATAACGTTCTACTACTACTCTCCAGCGCAGTTGTTTCGAATTTCTTTATGGAAATCTTTTTAAAATGGTTTGCCAGTTTGTTTAAGTACTATGTTTAAATACAAATATTGATGTTTTTGAATGCTTTAAAAGTCTCATTCAGTGCAGGCTCGGTTAAATTTCAAAAGTTTATTTGGAGGTGTCTTGTTACACATAAACGATTTTTGTAACCGAATCTGAATAGCGCAGTCTGTCTGTGCGACCGCCCGTTTCAATAACACTCCTTTACTGTTATATTGCTATCGATGTTAACTTTTCTCCCGAGGCTTTAAGATCTATGATTTGGTTGGTTATATTTCCATTCGATTAAGATACAGTAAAATATATGAAATGGCTATTTCTCCAAATGGACACGATAAACTTTTAAATTTTTTGAGCCTAGGCTGGATATGTGGTAAGCAAACATTACAAAACGGGCACAAAAAGTTGACTGGCTGAAAATAATTTATAGGTTGGTTGCAAAATCTAAATTTTACTGAGTTAAAAAAGAAGCTTTAAAGATATAAATCGTGTTTTTTTTTTTAAAGCCGATTTGATGCTATAACTATGATGTGTAATTTTAAAAAGTTAATCAAACCCTTATTGTGCGCCGATAGGTAATAAATCTTTTATCAAGTGTCTTAAGCATGTTTCACCGTTAATCACCAAAACACCCGCGTCAAATTACAAAAAAAATTAATGTGCTCATGTGAGTAGAAACCATAATCAAAAGAGAGCAGCAGTAGATAAAGAGTGAAGGGAGCAATAAAAAGAGAGTGCGAAAGGGGAGGCGGTGCGCCGTGTTTATTTACAGACTAAATTCGCGCATGTTTGACGGCTAAATTGATAATTCTTGCGTTCACTATTTGCATACATTTGTATCTATATATGTATATATAAACAGGTGCTTGATTGCAGTTTGGACCATACGACCCACCCGCACAGTTAATAGCCATAGTAATATAGGTAGATATTTGCCCTTGCCCGCCAAATTCGTGCCCTTGGTCTGCAAATGGGCGCACATTGGCTCTGCGCTGGCCGGCCACATGTGGGCTATGTAGCAGGAGACGGACACACAGGTGACCATCGATTTTAAATAACAACAAAGAGGTATAAATTTAAGGAGCATGAGCTGTGAGCATGACTCACATCAGGTCAAAGGATTAATGTGCGTACGTGAGGGGATTACTATTGTCAATCGGTAGCTTAGCCTTATGGTTTTCATTTTTAAGGTAACAGATTCTTATATTTACCTTTGCTAACTTAATATCGTCCATTGTTTACGTTTTTTGTTTGGCAACTTTATTCTTACCACCTGTCAAAAACACTCACAGACGGGCACAGCCGGAATATATAATTGCACAAGTTATCACCTAGTTAAACAGTATAAAACGCACTTTAGATTTTGCCCATTTCAGTTACACACGCATTGTAAACTGGTAAAATGTACTAATTGCTTTCACAATTGCTTAAATGCTCTCGCCCTCCATAATTCAATACTTGCCACCTAGTTGGAGCCCTTCCAAATTATATCAGGTGGCAGCTTTTTTTATGGAGTGTAAAAATGTGGCAGGCTACACGTTGCGTTGGGAATGGCTGTTCTTGGTGAGCTATCGATAATTTCAACTGCAGCAGTTAATTTTTCAAAAAAGAAAACCTAGTCAAAATAAGAAATGTTGAAGTTAGCGCGCATTCAAATTATAATTTCATTTTCATAGAGTCTACGCATTTTCGTACTTTATTAGACTAGAAAAACTTAACTTTATTAATCCAATTCCAATTAAAAAATTGTCATATGTATATATTTCCGTAAACTCAATGGGCAACTTGAAATAGCAAACAACACGCTTTAAGCTCATATTTCATATATGTATATATGTAATCTGAATAAATGCTTGTGTCTATTTCCGCAGGCCTATATATTTGGTCCATACACCTTTGCCATCAAAGTACGGTTTGTTGCGTGAAGAAATCAGCGCTTCTCTAAATATATCCGAATACGCAGGCGGAATAGACACATGTCTATAGAGGTTATAGAGAAATTCATAAATCTGAAAATATACAAATATTCAAAATATACACGTCTTAGTTATAGTAACTTTGATAAATCAACAATATCCGTACCTTTGCTTCCTGATCCTTCCAAAAGATGTGATCACAGAGATATTGCATGCTCTCAGGAAACAGTGCAAAGCGTTCTTTACTCTCTGTAGCTACAACATCCACGCTGCCAAGGAGAACTGCACAACCGGATAGCACATCAACGGACAATATAAATATATCGAGTAGATAAAGGGCCCTTGTTAGCTTCTTCTTGTTGGACGATTCAGCCAACAGCATTTGTATTTCCACAAACATTTCCATAATCCAATTGCAGGAATGCTCATCGCTTTCAAAGGCATAGAGTGTGGCGGCCAAGTGACGGTAGAAGAAAACTCGTTCTTCTAATCTGCACTCGTAGGCATCAATGATTGGGATTAGCCATTTAAGTGGGTTCGGCAGTTTTGTATTGTACAATACCAGATAACATCGGATTATGGTTGCCTTCTTTAGTTTGCCTAAAGGCGTTTCCCACCAATTTGCCGGCGTTGTGAGGCCGTCGATAGCGTTGGGATGTAACAACGCCACCACTTCAGTGTAGCGCTCAAATAACTGTTGCATGTTTGCATTTTTATGGTGTTATTAAACATATTTTCATCTAAGTATGTACGTGGTTACTTACTCTCGAGTCCAAGTTCATGGAGTCCATATAACGTTCAACAATCAGCGTGAAAACATCCAGAACCTCAGGTATATCGCATTTCCCCATGTAGATGTACTTAACGCTGTCCAGAAATTTCTCAAACAGGCAACCTGCGATTATATCATACATTTACCAATTTTCAAAATATTAAACAGGTCAGTAGCCTTACCCTCTGAAAATTCATTCAGCTGCGACTCTTTAAAACAGTAGACTGCCACTTTCTCCGCAAAGTTTTTCAGAATTTGCAAACTCACGCTATTAGCAATCTCGGGTAGTAGCGAAAACAGCAGAAGTAGATCCTCCTCAAAACAATTTGGCTCAAAGTCAACCAAAAAATTTTCGAGCAATCTTCGTGCAGTTCCAGAATGTAAGGCCTGGTTCTTAGCTATCATAATGCAATACTTGCGTGCATCAAAAGAGAGATGAAAGAAGCTAGTCAGGCAGCTCCAATCAAGCGGTGGTATCGGCTTCGGAAATTTCTTTGAAATCGCCCGCAATGCGAACGTCACTGCATATGGCTCAGGCACATAATCCCCAAATCGCGCTTGAGCCGCGAGATAGTTGGTCACAGAACGCAATGGACTGGTGGCGTAGAGGCCTACTAACTTGCGTGGCTCCGGTTTACCTTCGGGCAGACGGTAGACACCACTCCGGTAACTATTAATCTCGTTGCCAATATAATGGGCTATTAAATCGGCTGCCGCATCGCCGCACTCTGGTCGAATTTTCTGCAATAGCTGCACCCAAACCTCACCTGGTATGGCCTCCTGCTGCAGATCCACAACCTCACGTCCACCTAGCTTTCCGCCATACTCGTTGCTACCACCTCCTCCAGTGATATCAAATTTAAACTGTGGTGGTATGTGGCGTAACGTTAGTGTAACTCCCGGCTCGTAGCTCTTGAGAGCGGTGAGCGCATTGCGTATGTGCGTGGCATCCGTGTTGGGTCTACTGATGGATAACCACAATTGCTCCAGTGCATCGTCCGCTAGCTGTTCAAACTCCAGTGTAGGCGTTTGCAGAAGTGGCACAAGACCAAAGAACCGATAAAGCGACTTTAGAGTCTGCGGACGCTGCTCACTCCTAAATTTGCTGCCTAATGCCTGCCAGGTAGAAGCAATGTTGACGGTGTGACTGTCACATAATGCGTAGATGGCATCTAAAGCTAATGAAGTCGCCAAATCACCCGATTCATCGGTGCATGTGTTCAATGTATTGGACAGATGCGGCAGCAGCTCAGAGCCATGTAATGTCGGTCTTCAGGAAGTAAAAGAATTGAATTGAATTCTCTTACATAACAATGGGATGTTTTCAGCACTTACTTTTCCTGGCAAATCTCACGCATTGCATGGGTGCGCGCCACTTCCAGCTCCCAGCGTTTGTCATTGTTGGTCAGGGGCTGGGCAATAAGTTTTAGCAAAAATGGATAGGTGCGCGCCTCAACGCGCCACAAACGCAAGTATAAGTCCACACAAAGCGTGGCATTCTCCGCCGTTAAGTTGCGAATGGTGTTAAGTATCATGGGCACATTGTCCTGATTTAAAAAGCATATTATGAGCATAGATCGCAAAATGAAGTATTTTTTAGTTCACCTTTGAGACGGCAAAACTGGGCAAGCCACGTAGTAGTTCCAACTGAAGCTCGGGATTTTGTTCGTGGGCCAGCTTAAAAATATACGTCATGTTAAAATCATAGGCAATGTTCTCATTCACTGCTATTATCTGCAGAATGACCTCGTAGATTTTGAACCAGCAGTCCACAGGGGGCTCGCGCGACAAAAAGAGGGCGCGCAAAAATAAATGCAAACGTTGACAAAATGCTGTGTTCGCCTTTACGTTGAGAGCATCGACAAATGCAAACACATCTTTGTACTCGGAGGAATCGAACGACTCGACTAAATTGGCCAAGTCAAAGGCGATGGCAATGTCCGGATGATAGTTACGTATATGTGCTGGTGGTAGCTCCTTTGTGCAAATGTGCGTTTCAATCTTTTGATTTTCCTGAGCTTCCTCCTCGGTCGACGTCTTCTGCAGCACACGCTGCACAATTTGATGCGCCAGTGCGAGGCCTTCTGCGGGTATGAATGCAGTCTGAGACATCCACTGAATGATACCGTCCAGACACATGTTCAGAATGTATTCATGACCACAGCGCTCCTGCACGACAATGAAGGCAACAATGCGTAGCAGATCAGCCAAATAAAAAGGAGACAGGAGGTGCAGTGAATCAGCCAGCAGAACGAGCAACACATGGTAATGATTTTGTGTATGTTCCCGGGTTTCATGCAAGACGCGAAGCATGCACTGCAAGCTGGGACGTGGATCGACACCATATTGAGCCAACTGTTTAACCAACAGTGCCTGATAAATGCACAGTTCGATGGATTGGGCATGATCCGCCTGCTGTAGGAAGTACTCAATGGCTTCGATCACAAGAATGCTGGTGCATAGACACGTGGTGGCGTTATTGAATTTACTCCAGGACAGCAGTTCTTGCATTAGCGCCCGCGCCTCTACCTGTGAGCTACTTAAGGTGAGTAGAGAGGTCCAGATAGGTTTGACATCCTGCAGCGTTTGTGGGTTGCACAGCATGTAGAGGAAGACGGGTCGAAGATACTCAATGCTATGGTTCCTAATGCTAAGGAAAGCGTGGACTGTGAATAAGATAATAATAAATCAAATAATGATCTTACTCCTTATCATGATGCATACAAATGCCAATAATCTTATTGCTGACGTCGTTCATATTAACACTCGGGTGCTGGAGCAGCGCGATAAGCGGATGCTGTTGCGTCTTCAGGCCATACGGACACTGATAGCTATCATTGTCCTTGAGCAGTGACGTCTTACGTTTCAGCGTAAGGAGCTGCAGCCCGACAATGCTGTCCGTAATTATAGTAAAGTGCATGGGTCTGTAAGGGTGAAGAGTGCATTAGAGAGGTGAGAAGCTATTACCACTAAACTGCCAGTTAGAGCCCACTTCCGTTATACGGCACTAAGCCAAACGATTTTGCAGTCAAGCATATCGGCAATTACGCCCAACCTTTTATAGTTTGGACTCCTTGTGTTGGCAGCGGTAATTACCATTCAAGCGGGTTATTGTGAGGCATGTGGTCGCCACAGCTTAATGTTTTTCCCGTAGGGCAATTAATATGCAGTCCTTTTTTGTTTGTTAGCCAGTCTAACATCCTGTTATCAAGGTTAACTTCTGCATTTCATGCTGTTTCACGTTACTTATGTCCTTCAAAGGTACAAACATTTCAAGTTCAATGTCGGATTTTTTTATTTCCTAGTTTGCATTTCAAATATTTGAAGCAGGAAAAGCCAAAGAGTTGGCGCCTAATTTAAATATGTTCAGTTGGATTATCAAGGCCATGATAGGTAGGGATTCGCACGCATGCATACTTTTATATATGTATGTACATACAAACATATATTAACGGACGACGCCACAAATCAACAAGACCTCATATACAATTTTGGGGCTGTCACATGTCTACTGGTTTTGATGGAGCAGCACAAATGCGGTCAAGGGGTCAGCCACAGGAAATCCGTTTTGTGGGCTATGCAAATTGCCTTAGTCAATGCCAAGTGTGCGTTGAACTCAATTCGATACATGCATACATTGTGTGCTTGGGTTTTATGTATTTAACAACATCACGGATTTCCTAGTCAAACACTTCATATTTCATTCCCGCGTTTATCACATGACGTGACATGAAAGTGCGGCTCCAATTAATAAAGTCCGCATAGCACGCTTGAAACGGAACTAGGAAATGCGCGTGCCAGGAAATAGGGACGACGCTCGCTGAGGATTGCATGTTGACAGCCATGGGCACTGCTAGGGCAGTCAAGTGCGCATTGTTGCAGAAAGCAGCGTTTAATTAGCTTGGGTTATTAATTGTATGTGCTGCGAGGACTCCAACTAGCTAAGGTGGGCTATTACCTTGCAGTTTGGATTTCACCGCAAAAGCGAAGCCAAGAAAAGGCAGTCGCGTAATTTATGCGCCTCAGTGCTCGAGCGCAATTTTGCAAATGCAGGCAGGAAATGCAAGCGGAGGGCGCGCCCGTATGGAAGATAGGTATGTGAATGTGAGTATGTATCTTACCCCGCCTGCGGCAACAATGATAGCAAAGTGTTCTGCACACTGTTCGCATCCAGCACGCCCTCGTCGACAAGGCGTACCAATGTCTGACAGCTCATCAGGCTCAGTTGCATGTGCTCGTTCTTGCATTGTGTCTTGAGGAACTCGATTTCCTTGATTTGATGTTCAGCCAATTGCTTTTCCTTTGCCTCCACGATTTTGTTGTAAATTTTCTCCAAGCATGCTGCCAGTTTGACTACAGAAGTGTTGGCCTTAACACTATTAAACTCCTCCATGGCGGCGCTGAAAGGGTAATTTCAGAATAAGTTTAACTCAACTTACTAACGTATAGTAAACTTAAACTTCGGTGCAACTACTAAATCGTCACCGCCACAAAAACACACACAAACACTAGCTTTCGCGCGATTTATTGTTTGTTTGGGTAACAGAAAAAAGACCGTTAGAATCTCTGCGTCACGCGTGTCCTTTGGCCTACACGGTTGCCACTCGAATGAACGACGGCGCTTTTTAAATTTGTAGCTCTTACCAACTTTTGGTGGAAGCCGCGCGTGCCTGGTAATCGTAAATATTGTTTATCAAGCATTCAGTCTGTACAACGGTTTTAACTATGTTATAAGAGAAACAATATTAACTATAGTATTTAATTATGTTGTTGCGTTTCTATTTTGCAAAGTAAACGTAAATAAGCTTAAAAAGCTAAACCGAAATTACGGCAGGTAATGTTGATATGGTATCGATATATCGATAAATTTACTGGTGTATTCAGTCAATCAGCTGTAAACAGCTGAGCACGATAGTGTGACCATGACATGTGCTTATTGGGTTTTTGGCATCCCTGGCTATGGTTTAAAAATGACTAACTGGTTTTTGAAACCTTGCTCCGTTGAATGCATAAGATTACATAAAAAGAATACAAAAGAATAAACAAAAATAAGTTGTAGCTGTATATTACAAAATGAGTTACGCAGTTTATGGGTAGTAGCTTAATTCCTGCGATAAGTTGGTTTTAAGCACAGTACTTTTATTAGTCTCTTATATTGTGTGCTAGAAGACGTATATCATACATACCTTTGTTAATTTACAGCCTTAAGCCACAGCGTTTTGAGTTAATTGACTTTATGCACTTTGCTAGCGCACCCTGCTATAAAATGAAATTAATTATGAGTCTGCAGCCATAAAAATGAAACCAGGCGGACGAAAGAAAAAGTAAAGCAACAAACGGAAAGGATGGGAGACTTATAAATAAGATTTTTTGTTAAGAAAAACAAAAAAGGTGCTCCATAACAAAAAGTGAAATAAAAACAAGTAAAATAAAATATAAAAGCAAAGCATCCGTGGGCTACCGGTGAACTTAAATGCAATCATTCATTGCGCGGCCAAAACTCAAATACCAACAAAGGCAAAGAAAACAAAGGTTAAGCTAAAGGCAGCCCAGTACAATTTCCGCTTCCGCACGCCTTACCGTTACTCAAGGCAAAGTCTCTTTTTTGACTATCTCCGTAACTTAATGCTTGCGATTTAGGCTGGGGATTTAAAATGTTATGGCGGCTACGCAGTGCATAACTCAAAGACAGGCGCTAGAAGCAGATACCGAGAGAATGCAAAAATTTTCATACTTTTCTAAATATGTACGAACATAGATACTTAGTCTGTTTCGAGTTCTTTTTTTTTTTTTTTTTTTTGCTTGTGCGTATAACTTTCACAGGTAAACATTGTGAAGGCCCGCAACAAGACAAAGCACAACGTGTACTTCCAGTTCAAGCACAAATTGTTCTCTATTTATATATGTATACATACATACGTATATGTATTATTTGGGGAACTTAAATAGCAAAGTACGTTCATTTCATTTAATTGATTTTTTTTCCAGTTCAATTTTATATCAAAAAATTTCTTTTGCGACAGATGCTGTAGTCGCTGCTGGCAGCCAATTGTGTTTAGACACTTAATCGAACAAACTTAGAGAAAATACCATACTAATATTTTTTTTACATAAATTGTAAAATGTTTTTGAGATGATGAGATACTATTGAGTAGAAAATTGATAATCTCATGAAATCATTTAATACTAAAATATTTTATTTACACATCTTCAATGCTAAAATATTTTATTTACATATTTTTACGCTCACATATATTTTTTTTTACTGCAGAACATGTATATTCTTCGTTCTAAAATTTGGACATGTGCTGTTTTCGATTTGCATAAAATGTGCGATATATACGTATATACCATAAAGTACAAATACACACTGTCGTTGTTTGTGTATGAATGTACGAGAGCGTCTGAGGTGTTTGTTTATGAACTGTTAATTTGTACGCTTGCATGTATATACTATATACCTTACATGTAAAGCACATTAAACTCTCGTTGTGGCTGTTGCTTTGGTGTAGCACGTGTCAATGGAATTTGCATACACCCACCGCCCACTCGGCGTATGCGCGATATACAACTTTACAGATGCTTGTTGAAAGTACACAGCCTGCTTCAATTAAATGACGTCGCTTCATTAATAATGCATAAAATCTTCCACTTCTCTCCTTTTCCTTCGCACAGTTTATAGTTGAATAATGTGTAAAAAGTTTCATAAATTATACAATAATATCAAGATTAAAGCAAAACAGGTAGAAGCGAACAAATATTAAAACACCTACAGGCAAACAGGTAAATTCAACGTTTGCCTTGAATCAATTAAAGTGCGTATATACGATACTTTTACAGAATATCTAAATATTTATGCCTTACTTATTTGCGAACAGGTTTCATGAAATTTTAACTTTCAAAATGAATATTTATAGGTGCGTGAGATTTATGCGTTCGCAGACGCTGAACTGAACTTCTTTCTCCTGACTTCTTAGCAAAAAACTTATTCGGGTACTTGTAATTTGAAACTTTGATGGCTTCGACTTTGCTCAAAGTGCGTTAAAATGCAATTGCAATTTTCAATTAGTGAGTGAAGCAGGTTTGTGCTTAGGCAAAGCAGCTTACTCGCGTCAAATTTGACTATCCTGCCACTCAAAATGCAACCGTAAATTGAAACTCAACTCGAGATTAACAGATCTTGTGCACCCACGTACTGTGTATGTGTGTGTGTGTGCGTGCAGGCACATTTTCACGCTTTATTTTCTGGTTGTTTAAATTCCTGGTTTTCTAGGATTCCTTCAGTTTTTGACTTTATGGCTCTGACAAGACAACAGTACAGTCTTACATTAGCAAGCCTATGAGTGGGTAGTCAGGTGGGCGCTGTACGTGAAGTGTTCGAGTGTGTGTGGGCTCGTTTTTATGATTTACTTTACTATTTGGCTAAAAGCTTAGGTACATAAATTACCAATGTCGGCTTTCGGTTAGCTGCCACAAAAAAATTAAATAAAAGAGAAATGTGGACCTTTTCCAAAATTTCCACTTGGTCCAGTCTGCTTTGTGGTCTGCTATTTATTTTCTAAATTAGAAAAATGTTAAATATACGAACACAAAGATCCACCACTGCAACCAGCAAGAGAAGCAACAAAATTATATATATGTATATATGTACATACTTGTACATACATAGTAGCATATACTGGGCAAATATAATTTGTACGGCACGTGCGTGAAATTTAATGAAGCGCCCGCGACCGACAAATTCAACGCGAGTTGCCGCCGTTGACCCCAAACAAAAAATGATGAAAAAGATGAAATGTAGGCTTGTTGACTCAGGCATATGGTAGTAAATACATAGCTACATTCTTGTACCACATATGTATTTACTAGTATGCGTTTACTGGCAGTTCTACTCCCGTTCTGTTTTGATTTCATTTAAAATATTTTTTTTCCTTTTTTCTTTTGTTTATCTAGGGCTGAGGGCATAAAGCTGGAACTGAACATGCATAAAATATTTTTTAAGTCACAAGTGTGCCTCAACTGGTGCCAATTGAGACTAAGGGGTTTTAGCTGCCGGCAAGTGCCTTGATCTGCCCAAAAATGCACATAAATGTCGTGTGTGTGCCAAAAATTATTGCCTACTTTTGCGCACAATTTGTGGGTCTGAGGGCTGCAACTGGGCGGTTAGAATAGCCAAAAGCAGTAACTACAATTTACTAAATGGCAATAAATTTCAAGCGTGACATTAATTAAGAAATTCAAATACCAGCCCAAACGCATACATAATCGTACGCACACATACAAGTATACTTTCAAATCTTCGCACACATTGGCCTGAGGCACATACACTTCTGCACCCACACGTATGCATAAATGCTTACAAACATGACTTTGTTGGGCGCGGGTTAAAAGCATAAAAGCCCGAGGTGTTTAAGCATATTTACACAATATACAGCTGAATGTTTGTTGTCTGTGTACGTATGGAAGTGGAGCGTGGTGTGGTGTGTGTGCTATCTGTGTGGACTCTTTTAAGTGTATGTATGCATTCATTCATGTGTGCACCCGTCCACTATTCCGCACAAGTGCTTGCGGTTGCCGAGTGTGAAATATTTTTCACACCCATACATACATATATAGATGCTCAGACACGCTCAAACACACACACACACACACACACACACATGAATACATAGTAGTGTAGGGTTAGGGTAAATAGCATCAAAATGTCTGTAGTGACCATGCCTGCCATATCTTGTCTGTGGGCTACCAACCTCCTAAATAAACAAGAGTAACGCTTTGGCATTTTGGCATTTTGTGTTTAAAGTTGAATTTTCGAGAGTAAAGTTCGTGCCAATATGTTTGTTACTATATGGGGGGGCAGCCATTTGAACTTATTGTACAGATAAGAACGATTCAACACTGCTGCTCTTCTCTCGTAGCGCCGTTGTTGTTTTTGTTTATTTTATTGTTGCTTTTTCTGGCATTACTGCGGCTTTCGACCCTTTTAAGCAGCCACCACCAGCAAAAGTTCGCCTTAAGGCAAACGCACATATTTCGTAATGTTTATATAACACAGTGGTACATGGAAATTCATTAAGGCATACGTGAAGGCCTTAACTTATCCCTAAGTCAGCTTTTCAATTAAAGTGGTAATTTTAAAGGTCTTGAAAACTTCCGTTTGTTTTGTTTATTACTTGGTTGGTATGTCCTTGCAGCATACGATATATATAACACTTTAAGAAATATTGCCTTACCGAGTAGCGAAAGAAGTTGGTGTATTTATTTCGGACATAAATAAAATTAAGCGCGTTCTTATCTATAGGAAGACCAAGGAAGAGCAAGCTTTATGATTATTTTTCTCTGTGTATACCTGCGCATATTTCTGTTAGTTATTGTGGTTGTTACATTTGGCTGAATTTTGCGGTTCAAGTGGAATATTCAATCATTTAGATGCGGTCTGACTACGTATGTGCAATGCGTGTGAAAAAAACGAAAGTGGTTTAGCCTTCAAGAAACAACTTCTTAAGTATTTATTTCTTGACTCGTTTATATACGACGACAGGTATTTATTTATTTAGCCACGATACGATGCGGGGGGTTGTGGGGCGGGCAATCCACCAATGCTGTTCTGCAAGGACTGCAGAATGCCAATGGGAATCTAAAAGAAACGGTGCAATATTCATTAATTCATTGAGAAGAAAAGGAAAATAAACAAGTTTTAGTTACCTGAAGTCCTAACCACACTGGGTTAGCCTCGCTTTGTGGTGCAAAGGATTGGTATACAGGTTTCTGGACGGATTTTGCGTGAACCGCCTTGGCATTACTTCGTGATACCACCTGTACGAGTTTTTTGTGAAGGATTTAAAATTAAATATTTTAATATACAACAAAAAATAATTTGTTATGTAACGAATAAAAAACATTCAAGCAAACAACATGCAAAAAATATATATTTATAAATAGATTAGATAACCGTGAAATATCCTTCTCTGTTGATCCAAACAATTCTTAAAGTTATATTTGTTATATAATTATAGCCAAAATGGTTTCCCAACATCAGTGTAATATTGTATTCATTGTATTATTTATAGCAAATACGTATTAAAGCGTGCCACATTCCGCGATTTTCGAAATATTTATAGCTTGCTGAACTATTTCAATTATTGCGGCAAAGCTTTTGTTAGCTGCTTATACACTTGGTCAAAATACCTCAATACCCGTCCATGCATTCTAAACAAAGCGGTAACCAAGCAACAACTTTAATTGTGCGCATTGGTTTGTACGATAATTTCAGTCCTAAGTATATCTATACGAATATATGTGTACATGTTGTATATACTATACATAAGTATATGTATATGGGTGTGTATTGGAAGAACAGTCTGTAGAGTGTATTTGGTGTGCCTTGGCCAATTTGAATGCTGACTGGTTGCTGTTGTTACCTCGTCCAGCTTATCATCAGACTGAATAGTTCCCTGTTGATGTTGTTGTTGGTTGACCAGTTCCTCTTCATGCTCTACCTGCGGCTGCTGTTGTGTCACATAGACGGTGCGTAGATGCGGACGTGGGCGCTTAACACGCAGACGAGGCCGTTTTACAATTAAGATAGGTGCAGGTCCTGCATTAGTGTCGATAGTCGCTGGCAAAGTCTCGGGTTTGGGTTTAACATGACTTTCTATGATTTCGCTTGATGCAGACAAGGCACCAAACTTGGACTAATGGTAGTTCTGATTAGCTTTGTATTAAAGTAATAGCCAAGAAATGTCTAGCTGAATGCCCAACATTAGAACATCCAAATATGGCTTATATACTACTTATAAAACTAATTATTGTTATTTTCGCCTTCATGCGAAATAATAAATAATAAACTGAATATAATATACTAAGATAATATTTATAAGAAACTGAATAAAATATACTAATACCTTATACATATGTAATATATTTTTTTGGCCATTTAAAAAACACAATTTAAGAGCAGCACATCAGATTTTTAAATTAACGAATTTGAAGATAGTTTAATAGAATAGGTATAGTATTTAAACTTAAAAATTGATTTCGAAATTTCATTTAAATATAATTAAGTTTTATAACAAACAATGTAAAAAGTTATTAATATAATATAATGTATTCGCAAAACGATCCTGCTTGATTTAAAATCGTATACTTGTTTATGTTTCTTAATTTTAGAAACTAAATACTTTTTTCTTACACTATGGATATTATGCGAATAGTTAGACCGAGTTATTTTTAGCTCCATTGCGTAGGAGCGAAAATAAGATTGGATTGGTAATATAATTCGATTGTACTTACTTCGGGCCTAATAAGCGAGTATTTCTTTGGGGGCTTAATTTTCTGCACATGGCTGGGCTCTTCGTGTTGCTGTTCCTCTGGGATTGCAATTGCCGGAGGAGCATCAGTGCCTTGTTGTTGTACACTGTAATGCTTTCCAGACACTTTGCCATTTGAGTGCGCTTCGGCGCCTGCATAGCCACGCTCGCCCACACTTCCGGAAAGGACAGCACTAGCGCCAACATCAGGATTTGCTTGAGCACCCGCATACGCAACTCCTGCAGTGCGTCCTGTGGGCGAAATTATGAAATTATAGCTTAATTGAATTAAATGTACAAAACATGCCACTTACCGTTAAGATCGCCGCCAATGCCGGCGGCGGCACGTGAACCCCAAGGTGTTCCGGCGGAGGCACTGAGGCCGCCATGCGCTGAATTTCCGGTCAACAGGCCGCCCAAGCCTGCATCCGCATGATAGCCTGCAAAATTAACGCCTACTTTGCCATCGCGAAAGGTAATCAACTGGAAGTTGAGAGAAGAGAGGGGGTTAGCAGAGCAGAAGGTTAGTTGAGCACAAACAACTTTTTTGTACGTTGCGTATACGCAATCTCATTGAAAAGTTGTTGTCATTCTTTCTTAGGCGTAACAAAGTTGGACATTAGATCTGAGCTCGTTTTCTACAAACACGAAAAGTTGTTAGTCATGCACGCACACACAGATGCCCATTCACATGCACATAAAGACACGCATGGTTAAGGGGAAAAGTTTTAGCAACACCTTGCTTGATTTTCTGTGGCCGGAAACTTATTTATATAAAATTTGAGCCCCTTTTGTTGTACTGAAAATGAAATTAGAGGCAAGCACATAGCATTAAGCGGAAAAAGGGTAATGGCTCTTCAAAAATTGGCTGCCAATGTCCAAACGTGTGCGAAATGTGCCAATCAATTTAAATTAAATTCAAAACTTCTACATAAACTCACTGAGAAATTCAATTCAGAGCCAGACTGTCCCCTTAAATAGGCCTCGAACATCTTCTCTCTGTGCTTATAACTACATGTATATATACATGTATGTATGTGTTTACGTTTGACATCGAAACGACATTGGGCTAGGTCATTTCGAGTATGCTGTAGAGCGATTTTTGTTTCAAATTCTTACTCCATTGCGTTCTCTGCTCAACTCGTTCATCAAAAAGTTTTATGTTCGTACTCGTAAATCAGAAACTGAGAGAATGTATGCAAACAACATAAATGTGAACCGTAAAGGGTTTCAACAAGTAAGATAAGCCTGATAAATATCATTAGAATAACCCAAAAGGCACTCGACTCTCGTAATTATAATAGGTATGTACAATTTACTCGACAAGTTTTCGATTTCAGTTACAAATAAGCCATGAATTGTGGCCCAACAATAGCTATGTGCATTGTAAATTCTCAGTAACAATATAAATTATCAATATTAATAACAGCGAGCAACAGAACAGAACTAGCCAGCGTCGGCTGATAAGTGGAAGAACAAAAGGAAATTGGTAGATAGCGAACAAAAGAGTGAATTTAAGAGAGCTACTACATAAAACACCTGCTACTGATAAGAGCATGGTAAAAACTTACTAACAAGCAGACATAAGGTCAATATTTAGCTTTGGCTCATTTAGTTCTCACACGTAGTCGTCGCCAATGCGTTTGCTTTTAACTCTATTGGCGTTCTCGTTTACGTGTACGAGTATACTGTGTAGTTGAAGTAAAACGACGGCAAACGAAAGAAGAAGCTTGGATACATATGTTGTTGTCATGACAAATAAAACCCACACTCTGTGGCTCCACGGATTGTGGCTGTTAGTATTGTTGCCGCTCAACGAAGGAATCACGGTCACCTGGGGTTATGTAAACAAGTATGCCAGCACGCTACACGCAGAAGATGTGTACCTGGAGCCACACGACATCAGCTTGGATATTGCGTATCCTGCACAGGTGAGACTGCTGCTTTGTTTTTATTAAAAACGCCACTCTTCAGCCTTTCTCTCTCCACCCAACCGCGTCCAAAGAATGTCAGCAATGTTTATACGATAAGCGCAATACACGCCTATGATTTGACTCAGGCCGAGGCTGCGGCTGGCGATGCCGACGAGACCACTGCCCTACTTCTAAGCGGTGGTGTTGGGCAACAGCATGCGGTAGTACGCTTACAGCGACTACGACTACAGAATGCTGATGCCACCAACAACAACATGAATATAGGCAAGAACAGAAACATCACAGTTGTGCACTTCCAGTTGGTCATTTATGGTGTTGATTTGTAAGCAATAGCGATAACTCTATCCTCTCTCTCTCCGGCTCTCTTTACTCCACATACAACTAACTGACTTAACTCTCTATGACCTGCTACCTCGATAGAGCGGCGAATGATCGATGCAGTAAAGACTTGCGCTCCTATTTAATGTTGGAGGGTTTTTTTTACTGACCATCTTTAAACTTGCCATTTTCCAATAAACGAAACCCAAAACGTTCTGTGCATGCGTGGCCCTATTTTAATATAATTAATAATGAAATGAGTAATAATGGGTGGCATTCAAATGGGTAATCTAGGTATGTAATGTGTATATGTATAGTATATAATCTGTTTTGCACTCAAATGTCTCGAAAACTTAATTAAGCTTGAATTAAACTTTGAGCTCATCACCACTAGCTTCCTGTTTGACAGCTTGTGCTAAGCAATTTGCAAACTAAATTATAATAATGTTATAATTATAAACATGAGTTGCGCTTATTAGCACCGAGAACGGAAAATTGTTATTATTTTCTAAGTCGTTCAAAGTTTCCTACCCTACCCTACTTGTGACAACGGAAACAACAACCGCATTCAACGTCTGAGTCATGGCCACAACTTGTTACCTCAGTCTTGGTTGTTGCACAGCTCACTAATGAGATGCAAATGCAATACTCTGCACACACACACACACACACACACACACACACACACACACACACACACACACACACACACACACACACACACACACACCTTTACATAAATGCCGCAGCTATGCTGTTTAGCTGCTTTACTGCCTGTCTTGCAGGTGTTAAGAGAGCAAGTGTCTGATAAAACTTTTTACGGCGCATCGTGCTTTAAGTAAAATGTGAAATGGCTTTAAGACGATGAAGCAATAAAAGTTCCTGTTCGACTGCAACCTCTGAATTCATGACTGATAAGTTCAATGCCAAGCTTTAGAGCCCTCTGACAGCTCAGAATGGAATGACGTGCAACAATCGGCATACGAGTGTGCTGATTTCTGCTAAAGGTTTTTAAAGCCATCAAGAGTTCAGCTTGTTGGAAATGTGTTTGTGTTTTTTTATAAATAAATATCTTGTTTTAAGTACAACATTTCCTATACTATAATAAAAATATTTATTTGTACGAGTCAAGTAATCAAGCTTTTAATGAAAAGAGTAGCCAGTTTGTCAGTCAATAAGTTATATGTTCACCTTGAATTTTACATTTATACCTGAATGAGGATGAATTTAGAATCAACTAAAAACATTTGTAATTTAAAATGCTTTTTTATAGGTGCAACACATTTATAGCAGCTATACTAACAGTACAAATAGGAATCTATGTAAACATATATAAGCTATTGTTTCCTGTTTGAACCGTACGCTACTGATGATGATGATTTTGTTTCTGCTTGCTCTACTTATTTGTTTACGCTTCCGTCAATGGACACAATGAAAACATATTTGCTTAGACATGTAAAATCAACACAAATATACATTTAAGCATGCATGCATAAGATGAGATAGCAAAACACTGAAATTTTATTTGTTTATTTAGTTCTTCATTATATGTATGTCAGCATCGTTTGTTTTTGTAGTTAGAATTGAGTTTGGCAGTAAATTTAATTGATACAGGAATTTCTGCCCACTGTATACTTGGTAGAAATATATAATGAACGATAAATGATCAAGTTAATTTGCATTGAAATTAAGGTAGCAGCTAATGTGCAAATTTATGCATAAAAAAGGAGAGCCTTTGAAATTGTCAGCTTCACAAGCATTACGTTTGCAATGAAATTATTTGGCTTCACACCTAAAATGCCAATCCCCAATGTGGCCAAAATCACTTTTGTAAAAAAACAAATCGACTATGACCCGCAATTTGCATGAAATCAGACCTGCGGTTAAATTGCAACCCTTTATAGCTCACTTTACGAGCGCTTTAATTTCAATTTTTCTCCACACCGCTAAATGCTTGCCACCAAGCCACAAAAATATTTGCTGCCTTACCGTTTTTTTCTTCAGTATTTTTTTTTCTAAAGAACACACAAAATGCAAATTTCATGCATGCGCTGATTAAAATCTAAATTCTATTAGGCCACAAGCGCCACAAACAAATAGAAATAAACTTTAATGCAAAGATTTCGACTGCGCCCCAAGCAAGCGAAGCAGGGGGCTAGCAAGGTGGCAGGAGTAAGGAGGCAGAAGTAAGGAGGCAAAAGGAAAGCTACGGAAATTGCCTAAAATTGTTACAGCTGCTGGCAGGCGTAAAAACTTTTTTGGGCTGATGAAAAAAACAACAACAATAAACAGCAAGAACAACAGTGAACCGAAAACCGACAACAACACACTACCCACGCAGACGGCATCACAGACAGACTCACGCCCCTATGCCCACAGAAACGCCCATCACCCGCCCCAACTTTATGCCGACAGCCACGCGTGTCGCAGCATGTTCATATTTTCCGTTATTTTTTCCTTTCTCCTTTCGTAGGAGTAGCAGACGACGACAATGGCCACAGACACGCATTCGCTCCAAACTTTTGGTCCTCGCTCACCTTGGGCCTGGTGTCAGCTTTAAATATTTACATTGGCTTGACATGCGCCTGCAAAAGGGCCTGAGACAGCCATTTAAGTGCCACACTCATACGCAGTTGTTGCATACTTTTCGGCCGGACTGCATGCATACAGTGATGCCTCAGCAATGAAGGCATTTTTAACGAATAAAATCACACGCAAATATGCCAAATAACCCATTAAAAGACAGGCCTAGTTAGTTATGCTTGATTTTTTAGTAACTTTTTTCTCTAAGAATCCTCTAAATAATCTGTTTAAGTTCATTTAGATGTGCTTTATTCCCTTATTGGAATAAGAATGAGATACGCTAAGTAATAAAACATAAATAAATACCAAAATATGTGATAAGAAATCTTAGAGCTAGAGAAAAGTACTTTGCATTACAAAGTACGTAAATATAAGTTTCGTGTCTTTTTGGATTAAAAGATGCGATGCATATGCAATAGATTTAAATCATATATCTAAAGTATAAAGTATATATCGAATTTAAGAAAATTCATAATAAGCACATTTTACTGTACACAATACTTCTCTTGTATATCTGTGCACAAATTACTGTGAAGCAGCTGCAGCGTGCAGGCTGGCGACATGTTGCAATCTCTACATACGTCGCACAACATGGCGTATGTGCAATTAGTTTAAAATGCAATTACATTTACATTAGTCACGATGGCGTTGCGCAAATGCCTTTAGACCTCAAAGGTTCAAGGTGTTCGGCGGTTTAATGCGCCAAACTTAGTTATTAAAATGAGCCATAATTGTCGGTTGACCGCACAGGGCTAAGATTGATGATAAGCGCACATACGGCAGCCCACTCAGCTGTATATACAAACTTATATATACTTATATATGTTATATGTACGCTCACGAGTCTTCATGTGTAAATTGTTGGTTATGGCTTTTCATACGTACTTGTAATTATATGGCATTTTGCAAGCAAACGTACTCAAACTCTTCATAAGCACATTTAATAGCCATAAAGGTTGCATAGCAATTTAAATAGGCTGAGGATGAGGCCAACATATTAAATGCAAAAAGAAAAACACAAACCGAAAAAGATGCCATTGCAGCTTTAGAAATGTAACAAACCACAAATAAATTCAATTTTCCTACCTGCTAGCAAATGATTGCAACATTGATGATGTTGCTGTTACTGCTGATGATGGCGATGATAATTGGGATGATTGCGTGTGTGTGTGTGTGCTTGTTTGGGGTTAGTAAATAAATAAAGAGCTACACATGCCTGTGGTGGTTTGCATCGCATTGATTTGCCGACTAAATACGAATGCGAATTTTGACAAGAACACCAAAGCACAGACGAAATACAGACGCGCAGTAATTAAAATGTTTGCATTTCCATACAATACACTCAGACAAAAGCGAAACGTGTTCCCCAGTATTCCAAATGAAAATGGCCATAATGCCAAAACGCATGTTTTGAACATAGATTTGATTTATACTATATATTAAATAAAGTAAGAAAAAATTGAAACAAACAATGAAAATCGTAGAAGAACAATACTAAATAAAAGTAGCCCACAATAAAAGTTACGCGTCAAACATAGACATTTCAAAAGGAAGAAGAAAGATTGATGAAAAATGCCTAGACTTGGAAAAATGTTGTACAAAAAAAAAAAAAAAATCATAAAAGATTTGAAGTATTGGTGCATGACGAGTAGAATACGAAAAAAACAGCTGTATTTTTTTTGCTGCAGCATTGTATCTATTTTGTCTGTACTGGTGGTATTTGACAAAGTAAGATAGTATAAAAAATTAAATTAAATTAATGATCTGTGCATTATTTTGCTTATTTTGATTGTTTCCAAGTAAACTATTCTGAGCGATGGGGAGTTAACAAAGCTATTACGAACGTTCAGCATTCTGCCATTTAGGTAGTGAGGGCAACGAGCAAATGTTATACGCAACACATAGTATATCTGCTTTGAATGGAATCTTCCATGCGTTAAATGGCTCTTATTACAGTTATTAAACAATAAGAAAACGTCCAAATTTGGTTTGGATAGCGTAAAATATTAGGACGCGATGGTTGGTTTATTTTTTTATAGTGCACACAGGCATACCCCAACAGAGCCACAAATGGAACACCCAAATTGCTGAAGGGTACAAATGACCACAAATGGCAACTGGTTGCATATTGAGCATTCCATCGAAAATTCATTACAGGAAGGATGGATTGCCTGGCATAAATTTCTCATATCGTGTCAAGAGATTTCAATATTGTGAAAACTTACCTGCGCAGGTGCCAGAGTTGCTTGCAGCAAGCAAAATACTCCAATTACAGCAAACATCTTTTGGCTATGAAAACAGGTTAAAAACAAACATTAATTTCATGGTAACTACTTTTGCTCAACAGCTGCCAAAGAGCTTTAGTTGCAACAGTTGAGTAGCTTCCAATGCTACTGGCCCCGGCTTTTCAAGAGTCCAAGCGAAAGCTTTAAAACAAAAGACCTGCTTTGTATGCGAAGTTCGTTGCTGGGCTTAAATTCTTTGCACATGGGCGTGTTCCTACACATAATGCATATATAAACACTAAGACTGATTTCAAATGTTATTTGCCCCCACTGTTTACTTAGGTATTTATTTTGTCTAATATTATGGCTGACCACTTTTTATACCTGCGCGTTCTTTTTTTATTCTTTCTTTAATTTGCTTTGTCTGTTTACTTCACTTTCAGAATTTGGCACTTTAATTTTGAATTGTGTTGTAGAAAAAACGTCCGTACGCGTTGCCTTTCGGTTTAGCACTGAATTTGCGATCGCTAAGCCGCGCTTGAATCTTTGTATCTGAGACTGGAACTGTGAAAAGTATCTGGCGGATTGTCTGGCTCTGCTGCTGCTGCTGCTGTTGTAAACCACTGAGCATCTGGCTCTGTGACTACTGAACTGGATTTTGAACACAATTAGTATGCCCACGTTTATTTATATAGGAATTTATGTGTTGCGTATTAACGATTAAGGCTGTCTGGGAGTAGAACTGAGCAGATAAGCATAAAGCAATATTTTCAATAAATATATGTATTTCTTGCAAAAGTATATGCAAAAGTATAATAGCACGGGCTATCGCGTTCATTGACATAGGTTTGTTACTTGATAGAACTAACAAATATTGCGTATACGCAAACCGGTGCAAATTAAAGTGCTGCAGCTGGTGCAGAGAGTTCACAAAACCGGTTTATTTGTTGCAATCGTTTTTTGTTTTTTGTTTTCAAGACATCTCCGTTTCTGACAGCTTTAACCTTAATGAACTTGTTGATATGAGCGTTACATTGTGTTCTTCTTTGATTAGTTTTTGCTTTCTTCACGCTTCAGAGCCATTGCAGGTCAATATCAGGCTTCCATTTCTTATTGTACTAATCTTATTGGAAAATAAAAAGCGCGATGTGTATAAATGTTTTGTTTGACTTAAGCTTAAGTGTATAGTTCAACAAATGCTGTTTAAAGGTTCCATTTGCAGCCCTAAACGCGCAAATATGTATACGAATGTAAATGCCAAAACGTTTTGACCAAATCGTTTTGGGAAAAAAACACAAGGCACAAAAAATATTCCCCAGACATTGATATTAGTTGTTAGCCTATCGGTGAAATTTACCGTTTTTTATGCCTTGTTTTAACGAGCATTCATTAAATATTCAAATGACAAAATTTCCAGCAGCTCAAACTGTTAAGGCATTTGCGTTAATTTATTTCTCCTGCTATTTGATTCGCTTTAAGCGTTTACGGCACGTGCTCGATAATCAAATACTGACAAAAAAAAGGGCATAAATAAATAATTGAATGTGCGAAATATATTTGCTTCGATTTGCATAAAGTCCGTCCTTTTATGTTTTTAACAATGGTCAGTGCCATTTCCCATTGCATTTATGCGGTTGATTTACTCGCGCGAGTCCTTGTCGGTTTTTTGTTCGCAGGGTTTGAGTCGGTTTCGTAATTAACGGATCAACGCAAAATATATTTGAGGGATTTAAGTTGTTGACTTTTAAACCGTTTGACCAAATTCCAAGGCAAGTGTCTTTATAAATTTCCACGAATAATAAATAGTATTAATTTAGAAAGCTTTTTGCATTATTAATCGCTAAAACAATAATGTTAATGACTTGATGTTTAAGGAACAATTATGTTTTTAATCTCGTAGCTGTCAGTTGAACTCGGGCTTTATTTTTCCTTAGCTATGCGATAAGCATTTTGCCATTGATAGCAATGGACGGCAATTGCTGGTGATTGTTTTAAATATGCAACTGCTAATTGCGTAAGAATTGATTTTGTACAAATATGTGCAAAAAAATATATTCAAAAAGAAAATAAATGTATAAACGAGAAAAGCCCGTCAAAAGAGCGTTAAGTTGGAAACCACTTCAATGCATTTAATTAATTTTATTTTCCAGTGTAAGATTTAGATGGAATTATTGGTAGCTCCAAAAAATTTGCTACAATTATAAATAGTTTTTTCAGCATCGTGCAAAAATGATTACATACTTTTGGGCTGATCGATTTTAACTGCGGTAAATGCGGCCTTGAAGTTTTTATACATACTCGTACGTTTTTTGTTTTATTGATGCATTTCTAGACGAATGAATCTAATCCTTGAAATCCTTGAACCTATGGCGATCAAGTGTATGCCTAAGAAAAGTTTTAAGATTTTACAGATACCATTGGCCATGATCCCCTACATGGCAATATATATGTACATTCAACAAATCTAAACAACTAATCAGCACGATTGGATATCTAATTGTTTATAACTATAATAATCTGATTTCTTCAGCTGACATTCAGTTTAATTTGAAGCGTTTGTTGTTAAATGCTAGAATTTCGCAGCATTGTTTGATTGTAAAATGTTAAAGGACCCCCATATACGATCAGCAAAATTAACTAGTTTTCATATTTTACAACACATTTATTATATAACATATTTGTTGCTTACAAATTTCATTTGATCTTTTTCTCTCACTATGATAAATACCGCTTAGCTAAACTTACAACAATTTCACATATATCACAACAAAAAATGCTTAAGCCAACAATGCTTTTGGTACGTGCGCGCACATTAAAAAGCGACAACATCTAACAGCTAAATACACTTAAGGGACTTTCCCGTATGCGGGTTAAGTTCCATGAAAAAACACAAACATGCACACAACTTACACATACATAGGTATAAAGCACATTCATTCGCGCATATAAACAGAGTAGAGAAACAAAACTCATTAAACATCATACATACATATGAACATGTATATACAAGTATACGAGTATAGGTATCTATATATGTGGGTATACATATAGAAGAGGTGCGTGTGCGCCCCAGCTTAAGGTCAAAGTTTAATTAAAACTAATTGTTTATATTTAAGAATGGCATTTGAACTACGCCAACTCTTCGCGCATTCGGGAGCTTGCGGTTGCCATCAGTTTTGACGCCTTGGGCGTATCGTGCTGCGGCAACTTGAAGTCCCCGTCAGATGTTCCGCTCGCACCTGCTGGCAAGCGTAATTGCGTGTCTGCCCCGGCATTGGTCGTGATTGCGGCGGACTTTTCTGAGATTTCCGGTGAGCCCGGCGCCTGGCGGTAGCTGCCCGTTAAGCGTGCCACTAAATTGTTGACAGCTCGAAGTGTCGATATTGGTATCTGCAAGGGAAAGGAGGAAATTGAAAATTACTAAATATCAAATTTGTTTGCGTTGGCCGTGGCAAGTGGCATCAATATTCGGTCGATGGTCTATGTTCGTTGTTTGATGGTCTGTGCGCTTGGCACATTCAAAGGCTCAGTGGGTGGGCCGGCCGAGGCTTAATTAAAAATTTGGCACACTTACCTCAAAAATGCTGTCGATTAGTGGTCGAAAGCTGAAAAGTGGATAGCTTGACTCCACCGTGTTGCTATGGCTGGGGCCAGGCACAGCATTTGCGGCCGTGTTGCCCCCCACGCCCAGGCTGTTCAACAGCAGTGCAGCATTTTGTTGTAAGCTATTACCGGCAGGATTAGGTGCGTATTGTTGGGGTGCGGCGGAGAGGACGGCTGGTCGCTCGTAGTGCGCATAATCGTGACCGGGATAGAGCAACATATTCTGTACGGGCATGGGCTGTAGCATGGTCTGAGGAAGAAGAAGACAAACAATAAGTTGAGAAATGAAACAATAATGCATTTGTAGGTACGAGTACGAGTTGAAATGGCTTTTTAAACAAAAAATGTCTAATAGCTTGCTCGTTAGCATAAACTTGTTGCCTTTTAATTTTACACGTACACAAGCATCTTTTTCTCGGCTGGTAATTTCAAATTCAAAGGCATCTGCTGCATGTAATTATGTGTGTACATTGCTTATACGACATGTGGGTTGGCCGTGGCCTTTGGCTAAAGTGCAAGGCTTGGCTTAAATTGCATTTGCAACATGACCGGATTTTTTTTTGTTTGCAACATATGCACAGTATAATTTAAATGACAATTAGTTTGATATAAAAGCATTAAAGCATTTTCATATTTGTCTTGTCACTCTGTGGTTTGACTTAATGACCATTGAAATAAAATGCATTTAATTCTAGTTGAAATGTACAGCTTACATCATTGACCAGCAGGACCTCATTACGCTGGCCGCGCGCATAGCCTGTGACCCGCGTAAATTCTGTGACCAAATGCGACATGACCACCAAGAGCACAAACCATACAAAGCGATCCATCGCCGTGATAATTATCTGTAAAATGCAATTATAAATGGGTTTGTAAATTAATTTTCGGTATACGAGTATATGTGTTGGCGATTACTCTCCAGCTTCAGTTGTTATATAATTTGGATTGTTTACTGTTAAAAAGCTGTAAATATGCTCGTATGTATATAATTTCATTCAAAGTGTATGTACATATGTGTGGTGTGTGATGGTGTTAAAACATTTAGCATTGACATGGTCAATATGTCTGTCTCTTCAGATTTACAATTGAAAAGTTACTTCTTCTTTAATATTTAAATCTAAACTAATATGTGAATATGTTATAAAAAATCCGCACCAGTAATTTGCATAAATATCTGCCCACAGTTGCAAACAAAATATCCTCCATATGCCAACAATTTATTTAAAACCAATACCCAAATTTCTCACAGTTTTCAAGAAATTTTGGAACTCAATTTAAATTTTTGTTGTTATTTGTCTTCAGCTCATGTTTTAGTAACTCTAAGAAAGCTATAGTCACAAATGTAATGTGTGCCACAAATTCGTGGTATGTACTTGTATGAATGCTAGTGTAAGCAAGTATGTTTTATATAGCATTTGTACTTAATAAATAATAACTTTAACTATATAATTATAGTTTGAAAAGATTGTTAAAAGTGGGTACAGGGTTTTTTTTTAACATATGACTTTGTTTGCTCACTCATTAAAAATATAAACAGATTGTTTAATTAGTTCAACTGCAGTCTACTAACTCGATGAAATTGAGTAAATTGATAATTGAAAATGAAGCTTTTCTGTAATTATATTTATATAGGACATTGAACATACGTCATTGTTAAAACTCATGGCAAACCAGATTAGATTACTGATCGCTGATGCAAACACTTTCAATTAGTTGAGCGCCGCCACATTGATCTTGGATACGCGCAATTAATAGTCGGCGCTTATAAGGCGCTACAGTTGCACAAAGTCAAGCACGGACACTTATGTTGATATACGAGTAAGTATATATACTAAACTATTAAGCTGTTAGTTTGAAATACAAAGCGCGCGCCAAAATCTCTGCGACTTAGTCGAACGTTGTCTGAAAACGTTCTGAGACATATCGACAGCGGCTTCAAAATATCGATGCCAAACATAAGCGGCAAACATTTCGAGTTTTTTTTTTTTTTTTTTTTTTGTTATTTTATTTGAATTTTCGTTTTGTGCAAAAGTGGCTGCGGTTGATGGCCAACGGCTTGTGCGGGTTTGGGTTCGCGCTGTGTGGTTGGCTCCTAGAATTTGCCGCCGTTGGCGGTAGCATTCTGAAATGTGGATTAGCACAAGGCCAACATGCCGCTTGGTGTTTGCCCAGCGCAACCGGTTCATGATGTTTAAAGTGTTGCTGTTATGAGTTTTCCAGTGTGTTTTTCCATGCAGTTGCAGCGACTACTTTAGCAGCGACTATTTTCGATGTCATATACGTAAGAAAACGAGTCGTACTCGTAAGTGGCTTGAAATGTACTTGTTCTTACCCACTTAGTAGAAGGCTGGTCTCGTTGTCAAGGCAAGCAAATTCGCAGGCATTTTAGTTATGACACTGCTACCAAAATTATGTTTGTGAGTGTGCGTGTGTGTGGGCGGGTATGATAAACGAAAAATAAAAATTTTGAATTGGTAGGCCTATTTTCCTCAATTTTTTAAAGTTCGCTGTTCAATGCAGCCCCTTCCAATTAATAAGCCATTAGTAAAACACAAACAAATCAAAATACGAATTTATCAATAGTATGTATGTATTTTGTATTGTCTGGCTATCTAGCATGAAATATGGCAATTTTAGTGCTTGCTGAAATAATGGGAACTGAGATAAGTAGGAGCGGTGCCCAACGAGCCATGAACATTTAAAAGCGACACTGACTTTGCGTATGATGTCCCACCCGTCCGACCACGTTGCCTCTAATTGTAAAAACGTTTAATTGGTTGTTTGCTCTTTTTGTAGTTGTAGCTAAGTTGTTTTTCCTTTTATTGTTGGCTTTGCAGCTACAAGATTCTGCCGATGCCTTGACACAGTTAGAAGACAAGGTGCAACATAAAGCTTGGTAATTAAATAAAAAATTAAACAACTGTTGGCTATATGACAACCATGACCCTTGTCAAACCGCTTTGAGGTAGAAATATTCAGACAATGAATAAAAATTCTCCTCACCACAAAATTAGCTAAAATCTTTAGCTGATAACAAGAAGCACAACGAATGAAAAAATCAAAACAAAACCCAAAAACATAATTTTACATTTCAATATTTGAAATGCCGTTGAAAACAAATTAAATGAGCACTGTTTCAATGAAACGAAAACGTTGGTAAGCAAAAAAAAAAAACAAAAATGAAACGTGCTAGGAAGTTTTGTCTTCACCGAAGCTGTATACCCTTTACTTTGCCTACTACAATGACTTTATTGTATATACTTGGTATAACCGTACTTGCAATCTTTTTTTCATTACTAAATATTTCATACGTTATTTGCAATTGGTTATTTTTCGCGGCCCTTAATTGGTGCAGCACTAACCGGTATAAGAAGAACATTCGTAACATAAAATTTGATTTATTAAATATATTTATTAAAAACTCTTGCCATATATCGTTTTAGCGAGCTGACATGGCCTGTCTTCACATATTATCTTTGTTGGTTAAAAAGAAACCTCAATGCAAAGTTTCACGCGGGAGCTTTCAAGCTGGAAGGAGTATTGATTGAAAGAGATCGTTCTTTCTTCTTGGCTTTACAAGGTTACACACCAAAATCAATATACAAGTATCTCTAAGCTTGTAAGTGAAGGGTAACTTACAACAGAAGGGGTAAAGTTGCGTCTTTATATTTTACTTGTCAAATAATTTACTTTTGTTTTATTGCTTTGTTTAATGTAGTTACTAAGGCGAAATGAAATTTTTTCATGTGAGCTCATTTTTTGAAATCCAATTACATTTAATTTTTTCAGTAAGATCTTTTTATTAATGCCAGCCGATAAACTCAAATGGACTTAAAGGCTTTGTAATTCTTTTTGTTATAAAATGAGATCAGAACACGTTTAGAAATGATTCAAACACATATGTATATTGTATTCAGTGTAAAAAGTAATAAAAATTGTGACTTATTCAATATCTCAAATTGAAGCTTATTTTTATTTTATTTGGGACTTTTTTAATGGGACTGCATGTAAATGGCCGAGTTTAAAATTGAAAGTGCAATTGTGTGCATTCAATATAAGCCAACAAAAGTCAAATTAAATATGAGCCCAGAAATTACAGTACAACCAAGAAGTTAATTGCATACATTTTGTACAGCAAATATTTCCAAGAAATCACCTTTATATTTAATGTGTCATCAAGGGGAATGTCAATTTGTTGAACAAGAAACACAAATTTTGAATTCAAATTAAAAAATTGTAAATTGTTTAGTCGCATTTGGTTTCTATCGTATATGCAAAGTTTCTGCACATTCATATGAGTACCAGCAGCAATTGTGCCTTAAAACTGCACTTTACATGCCTCAAATTCAATTTGCATAACAAACAAATCCACAAAAACCTTTTACACACTCACATTCACAATGAAAACTCAGGAAAACTCACTGAAAACCACAAAACGAAACCAACTAACGAAATAAAGGAAAAACTTTAGAGCCCCATGCCTACACTTAACAAAAAAATTATTTTCTTTATAATTAAATAAATATGACAACACATTTATTTAAATCAAGCCCAGCAATATTAATATTGCATTGCCATTGAGTCTACTTGTATAGTTAAGAGTCAAAATCAATAAAATAATATGAATAATATACGTAATATATTACTTATATATTATAAGTAATAATAATATACAAGTATTGTCATATGTCATATCTAATGTTACTAAGTAAAATAAGCATAGCTAGCTCAAAAACTTGAAAATTGTATCATTTTACCTGTAAATCAAGAACAAAAATGTACTTCATTTAATTTTTTATTGAGCACGGATTTCTAATTTCGAAACACAACAATGTCATTGGCTTTTTCCTCGAGTGTGTCAGTCTCTTGCCATTTATGTGGCATTTTTGGGAAACGACACAAATAACAAAAACATTACCAGTCACAACATTTTCGCATTCGACTTGAAATATTTACCGGCCAGCTTATGCCACATACATATATACATATATTGCCATTTATTTGTGTTTAATGGAATAATAATTACAATTTGTTTAGTTACTGAAGCTCTTAAATGTATTTTTGGGTTCTAATACGCATTTTTTGTTTGCAATTTTCAATCTGAATAGCATTTGTTTACATTGTCAAATACTTAGTCGGGGTCAGGAAGTTTTATATGGTCGTGTTTAAATCTTGTACGATTTTCTAATGTTTATCGGCCACCTGGGCGTATACGTCATCTTAATGTAATGTAAAATACATATCTTTTGTGTGTGCCACGAAATCGCTTACCATCTATTCCACTTAATAACAGTATCTGTTTCTGTTTGCGAGTTTTATATGTAAGTGTGTATATGTACCCGTATATATGAGAGTATGCACGTGTGAGTGTGGCAGAGTGTATTGTTTATTTTTCGCGCAAAAATCTTTTGTTTTTCTTAGCTAAAACTTTGGTAAATATTATAAGTGCAAACAAACAACAAATTTATACGTACTTATATACTAGTATATGTGAATGTATGAAGTATATGTATGCGTGTATGAATTTAAAAAACCGAAGAGCCTGGCAACTGGCAAACAAGCAAAGTTGATGCAAATGTGGGCGACGGTTTTACTGCTTTATGTGGGCGTTGGTTTCAGCTTCAGTTCGGCAAGTCAGCTGCTGCGACAGCACAGGATGTAAATACCCACGCACACATATATTGTATATACATATATATATACACGTACACACACAGAGAGAGACTAAAACAAAGTCGACTTGTGGCAAAAAATAAAAATTTGAACATCAACAGTCAAATTTTTATCAGTTTTAAGAAGCTCGATGCCTGCGCTGCTTTGCTTGGGCCTTTTGTTTGTTTGCTGT